GAATAAACCCAGGAAAGGCTCAGCACACTTGTAACCATGAAAAATGCATGCACACACCAAATGCTGCTCACCTTACTGCAGCAGGTTTAACCCTCAAAGTGAGGATTGGAAAACCAAGTGGAACCTCCCCTTGCCAAGGTATTGAGAGCTAGCATGAGAGGGGAATTGTTGTTTTTGAGGGAACAGCCACAGCATGCCAGCTCAAATCACTGCCTGGACTTCCCTCTCCAGCCTGGGCAGCCCCACACCTCGAAAAGCAGGAAAAGGCAGCCCTGAAATGTGTGTCTCCACTGAAACACCAAAAAAAAATCCCTAAAATTTTATTTAATTAACTAAAAAAAGAAACTTAACTTCTGTGTTGTTTTGAATATTTAGCAGGAAAAGGCAGCCCTGAAATGTGTGTCTCCACTGAAACACCAAAAAAAAAATCCCTAAAATTTTATTTAATTAACTAAAAAAAAAAACACCTAACTTCTTCTGCGTTGTTTTGAACATTGTCATTTTCAGCAGTTCACCTTCCCAAATTCAAGCCCACAGGAATGATTATGACCTGCACTGAAGTGGCTTTCAGTTGTTCTTGCACCTTATTAATTCCAACACATTTGCTTTTCATTTTCAGCAGTTCACCTTCCCAAATTCAAGCCCACAGGAATGATTATGACCTGCAGTGTCATGACCTTTCAGTTGTTCTTGCACCTAATTAATTCCAACACATTTGAGTATATAAAAGACAAAAGAAATCAGGTATAAGCACCAGCAGAGTGCTAGCAAAGCTCTGCTCAAACCACATCCCAAAATCATATGGAATTTTACCTATTTACTGCAAAAATCCATTGCTGAAGTAGTACAAGTCAATTTAAAAACAGCCTTTTAATGTTTAAAATATATATATATAAACACCCTATAAATTTTCCCCTATCCAAGACTTTTTGAACAGCCACAATCCTAAAAGAGGTACAAATTCCAAGCCTCTTTCTGTGCCCTACAGCCTTAAATCGTTGTACAATTCTGAGAGTTTTCTTTTGAGGAAACTTTTTTTCTTCCCATGCATGGCACCCAAAGCCTTAAAAACTCAAATTAAAATAAAATTAAAAGCAAAATATTAAACAACTACAGTCAACAGCAACTCATCAGCTTCCACAAGGACATAAATATTTGAATAGATAAAGAGGAATTCTTGCTAAGAACACAAGACTGCAGTCTTTCATTCTGTGTCAGCTTGAAGGCTACTCCCCCAGCAGACAGGGAAAAAAATCCAGTCTACCCAGCCCAAAAAGTTGGGAACATCTCAGAAAGTTTCCAGTGGCAGTTCTGCTCCGTGGTGATAAAGTGTAAAGGAAAATTCCAGTTTTTGCAAGGAGAAATGGGAACAGTGGGATGTGTGAAAGAAGCATCTGCCCTGTTTAATGTAAAGCACCTTAATTTTCTGTGTAGGTCTTTGCAACTTCTTATCTCTCTCCAAACACACTTATTTTGTCTACACTTATTTAGCTTCCCCAATATTTATAAAAATCAGTGAAAAAAAGCCTGAAACTGCTACACAGCAAGATCTGCTGATCTTCCTGCACAACACAGGGACCTGGGGACTTATTTGTTTAAAATCATTCATTTTCCAGAAAACTTCAGCAAAGTATCCAACAGCACCAGAAATCCAGACTGGTTTGGGATGGGAGGGACTCAAAGATCTTTAGCCATTCCCTGTGTCATGTCCCTGCAGGCCTTGTCCCCAGTCCCTCTCCAGCTCTCCTGGAGCCCCTCCAGGCCCTGGCAGGGCTCTGAGCTCTCCTGGAGCTGCTCCTCTCCAGGTGAGCACCCCCAGCTCTCCCAGCCAGGCTCCATGGGAGGGATGCTCCAGCCTTTGGAGCATCTCCTTGCCCCCAGAACCCCTCCCTGTGCCCAGCCCTGCTCCCCAGCAGTGCCCCACGAGATGCCAGCTGTGGTTCCTGCCCTCCCTTCCCCTCCTAGCTCTCCCAGCACATCCCTGCACCTGAGCTCTGGCCCTGGCTGCCCCCACAACCCCCAGGAAAAACAAACTCCAGAAAAGATAAAAAATCCCTTTACTTCCTTTCAACTCCCCTCCTAAGGCTGTCAGCAAGTGCCTGCCCTTGTACAAACCCCAGAGCACAGGAGATCAGTGTCCCACCTGTGGGGAGGTGCAGCATTCCCAACCCTCTGCACGCCTCTGACCCCTTCCTGGGGTTTGGAACCAGCACAGCACCCAGTGGCTGCCCCAAGGCTCTGTGACAGTGGGGTGACAGCAAGGTGACAGCCCTGTTACCCTTGGGTTGTGTTCAACAGTCCCAGGGCGAGGGAAGAGATGAGAATCTTGACTCCACATTACACAAGACTGATTTATTTTATTATTATATTTAAATGCTATACTAAAACTATACTAAAAATAGAAAGGATCCACAAGAAAGCTAGAAAGAAAAGCAAAGGAATGAATAACAAAATCTTGTGGCAGCTCACAGCCCCAACACAGGTGGATGCCATTGGTCATCAAGTAAAAACAAGTTCACATGCTGAGTAAACAATTCTCCAAATCACCTTCCAAAGCAGCAAAACATGGAGAAGCTGAAGCTTCCCTGCTTCTCAGGAGAAAAGATCCTGGCAAAAGGATTTTTCATAAAATATGTCTGTGACACTACCCCAACACCCTGCTGCTGCCCCTGCCTCTGAGCAGCTGCCACCGGTGGCTCCAAGGTGTCCTGCCCAAAGTGCCAGCTCCAGTGGGGCACCATGCAGGGATTCCTTCACTCCTCCTGGCAGCAGGGTCCCCATCTGCCCACCCCCCAGCTCTGGGAGCTCCAGGTGATGCTCCTCTCCACCAGCAGAGATGGAGATGCTGAACAAGGCCTCTAATGTCACCACAGTGCCACTGGCACCTCCTGCAGCTCTGCCAGGCAGGATGCACAGATCCCACACTCACCTCTGAAAGCCCCCACATTTACCCACCCATCATTCCATAGCTTTGTTCTGTGACAGAGGCACACATTTCTGCCAGGCAGGATGCACAGATCCCACACTCACCTCTGAAAGCCCCCACATTTACCCACCCATTCCATAGCTTTGTTCTGTGACAGAGGCACACATTTCTGCCAGGCAGGATGCACAGATCCCACACTCACCTCTGAAAGCCCCCACATTTACCCACCCATCATTCCATAGCTTTGTTCTGTGACAGAGGCACACATTTCTGCCAGGCAGGATGCACAGATCCCACACTCACCTCTGAAAGCCCCCACATTTACCCACCCATTCCATAGTTTTGTTCTCAGACAGAAGCACACATTTCTGCCTGGTGCTCACACTGCACAGCTCCAGCGGATACCTGAACATCATAAAAGCAATTTCACAAGCAGCAAAAAGCCAACAGTAGCAATGATGTGCTCTAAGAGCTCAGGAATTAGAGTCCAGAGGAGATGAAAGCAATAAATAATGAATGAAAGCTTGTCAAGGCTTCTGCAAGGCATCCTCAAGCACACTGAGCCCCACCCTGGCTCATCCCTACACACACACACAGGAGCTGTGCTCTCCCCAAGCCTGCAGAGCTCTGAACCTGAACCACTGCTGCTGGGATCTCTCCAGTCCTTGCCAGGCAGTTTTCCTTCCTGCATCTCAGGTGAACACAGCCAAATCAATTTTTAGCTTTTTTTCCCTTTTATTTCCCCCCACCTCAAGGTATAAATTGTTAAAGAAAAGCATCTCATGTTCATCTGCCTTCCTGCAGCAGGCAGGCCCTGCAAGGAAGCCTCAGGAGAAGAAATATCACATTCCACTCCTGTAATCTGCAAACTGCCCATTTGTAAAACCCAGAGAGCACACTCTGAGCTACAGCTCCACCTGCCCATTTCCATTCAGGACAGATGCTCTGGCAATGAAATGAAAATACAGCTTTCCTGAAACATGTAATATCCCTACTTTGTTATCAGATGATCCAGTCTTGGCCTCTCTGTGTAAAATATTCCTCCTCAGCTGCTTTATCCCCACTATCTCTTTTTGCTGTGTGCTCAGCATGGCATCAGGAGCACCAGAGCTCAGCTACAAAGGACTGGGGGGCTTTGACTCAGGACTTTTCCTGCTCCAGGAACTTCTTCCACTGGCACAGGGATTTCCCACTGTCTGTCTTTGCAACCACCTGAGCAGGAAGAGTCCAAATGTCCCCAAATCCTACCCCAAATCCCAGCCCCTTGATCATCTCTCAACTCACTTGGCAGGGCTAGGTCAGGGGTTTCACCTTTTTTATAAATTCTAGTTGGAAGCACAAGGAGAAGTTCAAGGTGCAGCTTATCAGACACACATTTAGGGCAGTCTCTGTAGTTTTCCATGATGAAAAAGATCCACTAACTTCTGTATCCAGCCTCCTCTGGATACTAAAATCCTGTAATTCAGAGCTTTTGCTCTTTGATACCAGCACCTCAATGGGCACAGACCCCTTTCCCCATTGCATGAGCCAATGTTACCAAAAGCACATTTAAAGAGACACAAGAAAAGGTCTAAGGGATGAAAGGTGGAGCTTCTAGTCTCTCTCATTACTAATTTTCTTTTTAAAATATGTACTAGGGCTTAAGATCCTTATATTGAAGTTCCTGAACAGCCTCAGATATAAATAAATACATTAAAATATGAGGATCTACATTGTCAGCAGCATCTTAAATACAATGTCTTAAAAACACCTTAACTTTAAGGTTATATAAGTTAAAAAACCAAATACCACTGAACCCAAATTAAGTTATCTTTTTAAAATAAAAGTGAGGGTTTTGAAGCAATTAAAGGTTGGACTCCATGATCTTAGATGTCTCTTCCAACTTAAATATTTCTAGAATTCCATAAATTTACTTGTTCAAAGAAAGTTCTTTACACAGTCACAAACCCTTCAGCAGAAGCACCAAGAATTAACCCTGACTGAAGCAAAACCAGCTTTTAAGCACAAACAAGCAAATACTTCACTGCCTTATTGTGGTTGAGGATGCAAAACTGGAGCTCTGGAAAGCACAAACCTTCACTATGACAGTCTGGTCAGAGTTGCTGCTCATCATCTCATTGATGGACTTAAAGAGCTGCAGCAGAGACTCCCTGAAGTCTGCTTCTCCTTTGTTTTCATACAGCCTGAAAAACAATTAGGTTTCATCAGTACAAACCACAATGGAAATACTGTTTTAAAAAAATCTGGTGGCTTTTTTAACAATCAGATGACAAACGGCCACTTTTTGTCTTACATTTTCTCAATAGTTTCTACAACTTCCTTCACTGAATGAAGAGCTTTCTTCCACAAAAAAAAAAAAAAAAAAAAAAAAAAAAAAAAAAAAAAAAAAAAAAAACCACACTCAAAAAAACCAAACCACTCAAGACAAGACAGACTGACCAGGCTGGGCCAGCAGGAAGAAGAGATTTTTATTGTGAAATGCCACCTGCAGAAGTGCTGCTCTAGTCTCTGGTGAATCCCTGAGCAGTGCCCCAGCTCCCTGTGCCTGGGACAGCCTCTCCACCCTCCAGATGTCTGCCAGGACCCTTGTGCTGATGAAGCCACAAAGCAGCCAGCAAACTTGCCAGCAATCACTAAAATCTACCAGTGGCCTAAGGTGAGTGACCTTAAACTCTGGGCAAGAAAGAAAAAGCAAGGCAAGAAAGAAAAAGCAAGGCAAAAAAGAAAAAGCAAGGCAAGAAAGAAAAAGCAAGGCAAGAAAGAAAAAGCAAGGCAAGAAAGAAAAAGCAAGGCAAGAAAGAAAAAGCAAGGCAAGAAAGAAAAAGCAAGGCAAGAAAGACCCCACTGACCCTCTTTTTGCTAAGAAGACACATTTTTTTCCTGTGGGAAGGAAGCACTGAGGTTACACCGTGTTTCAGCACTAATTTCAGGCTCGGTTTGCCATGGAGTCAGCACAGCTGACACAGAGCAGTGACTCAGCCCCAGCTCAGCTGCAGGAGCAAGGTCCCTGTGCCTCCAGGCAGACTCCTCACAGCTGAGCTGCCCACTGGGATCCCCCTCTCCTTCTCTCAGATGCTTTCAGAGGGGTAAAAACTGCACAGAGGCACCTGAGCAACACCAGAGGCCAAAGAAACACAGCCAAGGTGAAGAACTTGGGCCACTGGTACAATGAGTGTCCCTGGAATTCTCTGCAGTGGTTTAAAGGCAGAACCTGCCCTGCTCCGGGGGTAGGATGGCACAGTCCTCGCTGGAAAATGAGGGGGACACCACCACTGGCTCCACATCATCCTTGAAAACCTCCCCTCCTCAGGCAGCACGTGGGGCTCACCCACACCAGGGTCAGCCAGACTTCACATGACCAAAAAAAAGGAGCTGGAACCCAGATTAAATCTGAACAGGGGGAGTTTAAAACACCACATGGGACTGCCAGGCCAGGCTGGACAGGGCTTTGGGCACCCTGGGACAGTGGGAGGCGTGGGATGGGATGAGTTCAAGGTCCCTTCCCACCCAAACCATTCCATGACTCCTTTCCCCAGCTAAACCCCACCTTTACCCAGTCAGCTCTGATGGATCAAGAGCCTCACCCAACAAAAACTGGGCTCCCAAAGCCCTCCCTGGTCCCACTGGCTCTGATCCCCCAAACACCCGGCACCAAGACCCACTGCAGCAGCTCCCAGCACGAGCTCAACTCCCTTTTACCTTCCTCTATTTCCTCCTGGAATTAAACCCAGTAGGAAGGTCTTGAATGTAGTGAGGAGCTCAGAAAGGGAACTTCATCCAGAAATTTCCTAGGTACACTCCTTGGACATTTTCTTCATGTTCCAAGATCACAGAATCATGGAATGGTTTTGGTGGGAAGGGATTTTAAATCCTATCAAGTCACAGTCCTGCCATGGCAGGAACACCTTCCACTGTCCCAGGCTGCTCCAACCTGGCCTTGGACATTCCCAGGGATCCAGGGGCAGCCACAGCTGCTCTGGGCACCCTGTGCCAGGGCCTGCCCACGCTCCCAGCCAGGAATTCCTTCCCAATATCCAATCTAAAGCCACATCATGATGGATCACACATTGCAGCTGGAAATGGATTTTTCTTGGGATAAACATGGAGCTCAGGATGTTCCTGCTGCTTTACACTGAAGTTAACATGTAACATTTTTAATGTTGTGCTGATAAACCTTTGCAAGTCCCAGGTATGAAAAAGCTGATTTTAACCTGGACACAGAGGAAATAAATATAGAAAATTTAAAAAAACCTAAACCACTAAATTGTATTATTTTGCTGTGCAGACCTCTATTCCCCTTTTATGCTAAAACTGGGGGTTATGAAGGATAAAAAACTTAAGTCCCCATTTCCATAATGGATTTCAGTGTCCCCCTGAACAGATTAGAGAGGTGAAACTTAAACCAACAGAAAGAGTAACTGAACTTGACAGCCCAATAAATCAAAGTGCTTCTGACAAAAATCTCTGCCTTTCAAAAGGAAGTCACAATAAAAATAAACAAGTTAGTCACAAATGTGTTCCTACTGTCAGTTAATAACATCTATCTATTTAATATACCTGATAAAGCACAAAATCCCTGCAGCTGTGAGAAATCAAGGTTTACACCAGGCTGGTGCTTCCAGCACTGCCTGGAGGATTTTAAAACTGTGGTAAATACACCACAAGCACTGGGATCACTACTGAGGAAATCAGAGATATTTCTAAAGGTCACTTGCAATATTTTGTCTTTATCAACCTCTGCTGTAGTGAACAAATAGATGTGCCACCATGCCTTGAGTGGATGAACTTCCATGGATTTAACCAGAACTCAACTGCTAAAGTGCTCCATCCATCCACGGAGCCCACCACCCTCTTCCTAAAGTTAAAAATAAGCCATATTTTGGAATAAAAGCTTCAGCTTGCTGCTTGTGATTCCTCAGCAATCCTGCATTTTAATCACTCCCAATCACACCCCCCAGGCAGGGCTTCAGTCCTGCAGCAGAACAAATCAGGCTCTTTCTGCACTCAGTAATTTTGCTGATTAATCCCTTGGCATGGAGGGTTGGTCTCACACTGAAGGGCTGTGAATTTGTGCTTCCCACAAGGAAATCCCACAGCCAGTCCTGGAGGGTCAGATTGTCTGTAAATCCAATCTGCAGCCAGAGGGAATTTTATTTTTTCTGTTTTCAAGTGATTTGTAGGCCCTGCTGCAGCCTCAGTGACATCCAGTATTTTATGAATCTCGCAGCAAGGCTCCTACAGAAATAAATTCCAAGCCCTAAATTAGAGGAAAGGGTGGTGGAGATGGTAACTGAAGAGCTCTACATAAATCCCTTGCAATAAGGTTGTTCCCACTGCTAACAAGCAGTAAAAGGACTCAATCTAAGTGAAGATCCCATCAGCTTGGTTTATAACTTCTGTAACATCCTGTGTATAAAACACAATACAATAACAGAAATCTCCCCAAACAGTGCCAAGCTTTAATTGTCCAGAGACCTAAACTATGATAATTTTACCAATTCCCTGCTACTGAAAACACAGATCTCTGCTAAAGAGGGAAAACCCTTCTCCTGAAATAACTTCTCACAGCTTCAAGTATTTCTAAAACAGAGCAATACTAAGCAGTTTTAACTGCTGGACTGTAAAATGTTGGCAGTTTTGGGGCATTATTGGCCATGGGAGGTTGAAGCACTGCCTGTACTCACTGGTTGAACAATATCCTGGAGCGCACAATGAACTTGAAGATGTATTCCAGGGCTTTCATGGCTTTGAAGAGCTGATCAGTGATCCCACACTTCTCAGCACTGTCCACGTATGTTTTCAATACCTTGGTCAGTTTTCTGTTTAAATACAAAAAGCCGACAAACAAGTCACAAGTGTTCTCACAGAATTTCCATTTTGAAAGGTTTAATGAAAAATTATTCGCCCACAGAGCTACAAAGTTAATTCTTCAACTAAAAACTCATTGTGGTTCTGTCTTGCTGATAAGTAGCTGGCACTTATTTTTGAGGGAAAAAAAAAAAAAAAAGAGAAAAACCACAGACCATAACCTCATTTAACACACAAATCTCACAAATTTAACACACGATACAACAAATCTCAGTAAGACTGATTTTCTGCTGGATGTTCAAATGGATATTCAGATTCAGGCTCTGAGAAAGATGCACCTACTAATAACAATCAAAATAATAAAAATAATGAAATTAAATACAAGCATGCTGCTAGAATTAACACAAAGTAGAAGTTTCTTCATTCAGCAAGGCTTCCCCTTTAGAAAGCTTTCCCATGGATTTTGGGCTGAGATTTGTAAAATTTATTTCTCAAAGTACACACCAACAGTTGGAAATTCTCTTCTTCCCCATTTTAAAGCCTATCAAACTCGAAAGTGAAACAATTTTCAAAATAATCCCATTCCAGCTCCCTCCCTTCCAATGAATATAAATCAGGGCTTTAATGCAACCACAAGCAATTCCATTTTAAATCATCCCAGCTCCAGTGCATGATCCAACATCCCCACTCCAAGTAAACAAGCTCCACATTATTCCCCACTAACAGAAAACAACACAGAGATCCTGCTGCCTGGGGATTTGTTGGAGCAGGAGCAAACTGCCTGAGAATTTCAAGCAAGCACTTAAAATACTGCCAAGGCCACCTCTCTTTACTTCAGGGCTGAAGGTTGGGCTGGGTGAGCTTGGAACTCTTTTCCACGCTGGATGTTCCATGAATAAAAGGCAGGGAGAGGGCAGGGATCTGTCACACCCATGGGGACACCTCAAGCCAGAATTCAGCTCTCCCCTGTCTCTGCCTCCCTGCACTTGAGGAAGGGAAGGATGCTCTCCATGCCACGAGAGGACCACCCCCACCTTTTCCTCAGAAGTCCAGGTGATGCAGGATGCTCCACAGGAGTGATCAGTGACCAAAATATCAGCCTTGAGACTGCAGGCTCAAATCTTCTTTGGGAATTAAAGAAGGATCAGGGAAAGGTTCTTCCCCAGAAGGTGCTGGCACTGCCCAGGCTCCCTGGGGAATGAGCATAAGGCTGCCAGAGCTCCAGGAGGGTTTGGAAAACATTCCCAGGGATGCACAGAGTAGGATTTTGGGGTGTCTGTGCCAGGAGCTGGACTGATGATCCCTGTGGGACCTTCCAGCTCAGAATATTCTATGATTTTATGATTCTTCACGATTTTAAATCAATATTTTCAAACACTTTCAGGTCCCTTAACAGACACTCTACACCAGCAAAGGGCACCCCAGGTTCCCTGGTTTGGGTTTGCCTTCCTCCCAGCACTGCAAAGATATCCATCAGATATTTTTCCTCCAGTCTAACACAGCAGCAAAGATTCCAACTGTCAAAAACTACTTAAGACAACAAAAATAATGAGCCTTTGTTTTTTTGTCTTTCACTGCTTCTTCCCCACACTGACAGTAATGTGGATAATCAGGGTACAGTGTCATTTAATGCACAAAAAACTCCAGTATTTGAAGCATCTTAAATGGATGAGATTTCCTTCCAATATGAGTGAGAATTGCTTTTGTTTTCCTTACAAAACAACTCCTGAAATTGTCAAATCATCCCCTTCTCCACTACAGCACTATCAGAACTTCTCCTTGCACATCACTGAAAGTTGTACCAATTTATTTCAAGAAAGAAACAAAGACTACCCCCAGTCTTCTTCCAGACCCTCCCAAGCTCATGGGCACATTCCTAATTAGTAATTAAATAACATTACCTGGAAAAATTCTCCAAGTCACATTAGGAAAAATAAATTTTCCAACTCACGTGTAGGCCAAGGTAGCACTGAAATGCTTCTTGATGTAGGTCTCCAAGACAGGGTTGAAATGCTGAAATTTTCTGTCAGCAATCAGTCCAATGATAAATACCTGAAAAAAACACCATAATTAGTGTGTTAGCCTCAAAAAAAATCTTTCATTTTTTGTCCATTCCCCTTTCTTCTTAGAGAAGAGACATTACTGGCATTAAAATTTCTGTTCTGCTCCTGTCCTAAATTCGTTGTTAATCCATTAAAATTACTGGATGTGAGTGTTTCCTTATTTCCTGGGAGGATGACAAGATAGAATCCAACTCCCCCTGCATCTGAGCTTTAAATATAACTTTTAAATTAAATAATAACTCTCAGCTCAGATCTTTTCCATTAATACACTTGATTCTATCATTAATTCCCCATCATTAGGTACATTTCAGACTCCTCCCCACTGTAGACTCACCAAAGCATCAAACACCAAGGTGTCAAAGGTCTCACTCTCTGAGTTCTCCATCATGATGTTAAAAAGGGCATCCAGCGTATCTTGAAGGAACTACAAAGAAACAACACAGCTCTCATCATGCTTTCAAAGGAAAATTAAATTGAGATTTCACACAGGTTTCTATAAGTAAAGGCATTTTAAAAGTTAGCAAAAAAACTGGCAAATCCAATACTTTTCTTTCCAGCAACTTATTTTTAGTGAAGTTGATTATCTGTACACAAGTTATCACTCCAACAGAAAAAATGAAGTCACAAGCCACACTTGGCACACCTGGACAAGGACTTGGATCTGTGACAATGCTCCAACAACAAGGATTTCCAAACTGCAGATTCACCACACGCTCGCCAGGCCCATGCATTGCTGGAAACTCGGGTGTTTCAGAGCACAAACCACACAAGCACCTGAGTCTCATGCCAGGGAAGGCACTCAGGACATCCCTGCTCAGGGCTGCACCACAGCCCCCCCAGTCCCAGGGGGGATCCCACATGCAGGCATGGGAACAGAGCCCCCCAGTGCTGCCCCAGCCCCAAACCTGCACAGCAAGGTCTTCACTCCCCCTGCCCGGGCACCCCCATCTGTGCAACACCAGAGAAAAAGCAGATTAGTGCCAGGGGCTTCCAGTAAAGCACAAGGACAAAAGGTCCCTGATTCCAGGAGCTCTTCCCAGAGGCAGGAATCCATGCAGTGCCAGAGATACTCATCACTTCTGCAGGGATGGGCTTGTGTCTGAGCAGCTCCTTCCTCCAGCTGGCACAGACACACAGGGGCTCCTCCAGGGCACAGCCAGGCTGCATCACAGCTCAGTTTGGGTTGAGAAAGAAGGGGTTAAATGTGGATGGTCCCAGCACACGTTGCTCAAATCATCCCAGGATGATTTGGGTTGGAAGAGACCAAAAATCCCATCCAGTGACACCCAGGGACACCTTTCACAGTCCCAGGATGGTCCAACCTGGCCTTGGGCACTGCCAGGGATCCAGGGGCAGCCCCAGCTGTTCTGGGCACCCTGTGCCAGGGCTGCCCACCTGACCAAGAAAGTAAAATGGAAAAAAAAAGCTTTTGCCTCGTAGATGAGACAGAGAGAACATCATCTCAACAAGCAGAAGGGAATTGATGCTGGGGGGTTCCAGCTACAAGAGGCATTTCACATCCTGTGAGGGATGGAAAACCAGCCTGACTCCTACCTTCCTCTTTAAAAACATTCAAGGAGTCTCCTGGATCAAGCCTGATTCACCTGATCTCCTAAACCTACAGTCAAATGTCAGGAGTTAGCCCCATTCACAGCTGAATGTCAAACTCCTTAAAGCAAGTGCACAGAGTCACAGTTCGTGCTGCTGAGGATGAAAAAACAGGAAAACCCAAATTCTTGCAGCTGATCTTAGCCCAGTCCTGGGGAAGAGCCAGCTCATAATTTCACCACGGGGGCAAAAGGAAAACATCACCTCCTCACAGCCTTACTCATTCCATTAAAGAAGATGTGCAAATAAAGCACATTAAAGGCTGGACTTGATGTTCTAAAGGTTGAACTCTGTGATCTCAGAGGTCTTTTCCAACCTAAATGGTTCTGTAATTCTAAATGATTCTGTGGCTGCTGCCAGCTAGCAGGGAGGGAAGTGCAAAGCACAGTCTGGAGCCTTGACAGAAGTTGGAGCCTTGGTCTGAAGAGAAGTTGCACTCCTGGGTCGCACCGAGTTCCCTGGAAGCCAAAGGATGGTTGGGAGGCTGATCAAGCCTTGATTTCACATTCAGACACCTCAGCCTGACTTTCATGAGCAGAGCTCAGGTCTGAAATCTGTTCACCAGGACTTGGTGTAGCAGCAGGAAGAGCACAGCAGAGATGCTGCTGCTGCTGCGTGAAGGGGCAGGACATCTCAGGTGTTATGAATAATTCCTACACTATTAGTTTACATTCTCATACTGCACAGTCTCTGCACAAATGGAGCCAGAGCCTCTGGGGAGGGGAGATAACATTTACAGCTTCCACACACTCTGGGAACAGGCAGAGGATGCAGAGCTGGGCTCATCTCCACTCAAATAAATGAACACCAGTAGGCCCAGGACTTTCACTGGGAGTTTTCAAAACAGGCTATGTCTTAACAGAAAATAGGAATGTGTTTTATCATATCAATACTTTTTCTAAAGATATCCAGGCTGCACTGGGTACTGTAGTTAAAAACATGAAGGGCAAAGAAAGCTGGAGGAACAGAAAGGAACAGTTACAAACCAGATCCTGCAATGGAGCAGCCCCACAAAGATGGAACACTGCTGCAACAGACAGAGAATGTAAGCACTGACCCTCTAAAAAAGGATAAAAATGGTGGTGGAAGCAATATTAAACACTCCCTCTCTGCCCCCTGCATGTGCTCAGATCCCTGGGAGCAGGAGAAGGGAATCCCATTGGTCCTGAGCATGTGCCAGGTGCAGAACCCACTCTAAAACTGCTTTTACCCTGAGCCCATTTGTGGTGCATCCCAGGAAATCCCTGATCCCCACCCAGCAGGAACGTGCCACGCACTCTGGGATGTCACATTTGCAGAGGAGGGAGAACTCCAAGTGGCAGAGCCATGGCAGAGCTCAGCAGGAGCCAGTACCAGAGGCAAGATTCTGCTCTCAAATGACCCAGGACAAAACCACAGCAAGCAGAACCCTCCTAAAACACAAACCTGTGGGACCCCACCTTCCAAGGAGGACAAAATCAGCATTCCCAGATGCTTTAAGTTACTTCAAGCTGAGGCTTCATTATGCTTTTATTAAACAACTAAAAATCCCTGAAGTAAGGAAACAACTTCTCCAGGGTCACCCGTCCCCAAGTACATCTTTTGACACTCTTTTAGATTTGATTTATTACAACACCTTCAATAAAGTCCCAGCCTCCTCTTTTGCACAGCTAAATCTGTCTTTATGTAGCTCTCTGCAATCACTCAGTGGCCTTGGCAAATGTAAATAACTTGGCTCAGCTAAATGTTTCCAGAGTATTTTTTAAAAGAAAACAACAGCAGCACACACTAGGATTGCATTCCACATCCATAGATCAAAAATACATTTAACATTACCATGTAAGACTTCCAAGATGGTCTAATCTTGCAAAGAAAAGCACCTTTTTTTACTGTATCTGTATATAAAAATTTGCCAAAGTGCTAGGAAAAAAACAACCTAATTTTCAGAAATGTGCATTTGATGTTTGTTTTATCAGTTCTCAAACATCTAAAATGTTCCTGGAGGGCAGGGAGAGGAGCATCAGCACCCTGAAGTCTGAGGTTCCTGGTTGCAATTTTATGTCAAATGAGTGCAGTGAGGTTGAGGGGGAAAGTGTAGCATCAGCACCCTGAAGTCTGAGGTTCCTGGTTGCAATTTTATGTGCAAATGGGTGCAGTGAGGTTGAGGAGGAAAGTGCGGGGAGCCAAAAAACAAAAAGACACCTCAAAATCTGGGATTTTTACAGACAAACTCATTACCTTGACCACTTCACCACCATCAACTTTCATCAGCTGCTTCAAGTTCTGGTGCAACAGGCTCGTGTTGGATCTCCACTTCAGCAGTCCCAAGAGATCAACTAGGAATAAAAAAAAAAAACAAACCAGCAATTATCTCCTGCAGGCTCTTTCCCTTTCCTCACTCTCCACCACCACAAGCAGGACAAAGTTTTATTTCCTCACTTCAGCCTTTTTCCCTGGACAACAAGGTATTTCTGGTACCCTCTGACACTGCAGAAAGCTGGGACAATCCTTCTGCCCTGACAGAACTCTGAAAGGCTTTCAGAACAGCAGCCAGCTTTTGAAATATCAGCAGGAAAATCTAGGCCAAGGAAGCCTGGTCCCTGGGTTTTTGATTTGCTGTACACAACAGTTGTGTATTTAGAAAAAAATGCCAAAATGAAATTAGTCAGCCACCAACACAGTCATATCTACAGGGCAGTGACTCTCCCAGCATTAATGGTTCCAGCTTCTCTGCTCTCACTGCATAAACTGAAAAGAAAATAAAGCACAATGAAGCACAAAGAGTTGCAAACTCACTGAGGGTGGGGGAAAGCTGGGTGATGAATATCTGCCAGTGCCCACGCTGCTTGGCTGCTCTCTGAGGGCACAGCCCAGATGATGCCAGTGGTCCCATCCCCAAACCCTGCAGCCTGAAGATGGAGTCACTCCAGCACTCCTGATCACTAAGGGAATGCAGGAGGCCAGCTCTCTCCATCTGTCACTGCAAAGCTTCCTTTAGGGAAAGCTCCTGGGGAGGAGCTCTCAGTGGGGTCCCCCTGCAGAGCAGCAGCTCCCTGGGAAATACCAGCCCCAGCCCTGGAGCCCAGCACTGCCACAGACCCCAAAGCCCACACTCCTCCTGCCTCAGGGGAAAGCTCTTCCCCATGAAAAATCAGTTTTCAACGCAAAACAGAACTCCCAGCAAGTCCTGCTTCAATAACAAACTGAGCACAATGACCTCAAAGGCCTCTCCAACTTCAATGATTTCATGGCTAATTTAAAGACTCACTACCTTCAGTTTAGCCCCTAGCCCACCTCCCCCTGTAATTCATACTATGTGAATTCTGCCCAAAACCACTCGAAACAGGCACTTCCTCCCAACAAATACCCCCTCACCTCTTTGTTATTCAGGCTTTCAAAGCAACCAACACAACATTTACCAAGGCATGAATCTGCAGAGTTTATTCTGGAAATTATCTGCAGAGACTGAAAGCAGCCGCTTTGCTTTTCTCAAAAACCTTTCATTTTAAGTAATAAATGAAATTACTTCTAGTGGAAGGCACTACAGTACTCCTTGGAAAGAGTCCCCTCTGCGCAGCACTCAAACCAAGCCTTCTCATCATCTCTTTGTGAGGAGAAATAAAGAGAATTTTACTACATTAAAGCTTTGAAAGAGTTGAATCCAAGTCCTCCATTCCTTTTAATACATCCTACAAGAAGTCTATAGCCTGAACCCAAAGTCTTAGAAACCCAGTATTAACCAAAAAAAAAAAAAAATTGTTTCTGGAAGCAAAGCAAAGATGCCTCCATGAGTTATCCAAAGTGTTTCATGGATATATTTATATCAGCTTTCCACCCCTGAATTTGGCTGCAGTCTGACTTCTAACAAGGCATCAGCTTGACAGAAGAAATGATGTGAACAAAAGCCAGCCCACAGACGAGCTCTGAACAGCATCATGGATTGCCCCAAGAAAACAAACCCACGTGGACTGGCAGCGTGATGGCACAGCAAATGCTAAATGAATATACATTTGTGAGCACAAAATGTCAGTGCAGGCCAGCTGAAAGGGGAAAATAACTTACAGGCTATGGAAAAATGGGCACTGGCTGCTAATGCAAGCATTAATTAAGCCCAGCAAAGCAGCAGTCAGGCACTAATCCCACTCTTTTCACAGGGCTGTGTGTAAAATAATGCAGAAGAAGGATGTAAAACAGTATTTTAGCCTACAGAAAACAGGAATGATGGAGTAAGCCTAGGTCAAGTGAAATTTGAGGTCAGAAAACATCAGGAGGAAGAGAGAATGATGTTGCCCAGAGCAGCTGTGGCTGCCCCTGGATCCCTGGCAGTGCCCAAGGCCAGGCTGGACACTGGGGCTGGAGCACCTGGGACAGGGGAAGGTGTCCCTGCCATGGCTGGGGTGGCACTGGATGATCATTAAGGTCACTTCCAACCCAAACCAGTCTGGGATTCTGTGATTTCCCACTGCAAAAGGTTTAAACAAACACCCAGACTGCAAAGTTCCCAGTAGCAACTTGGCTTTATTAATGTGATTTATCATTCTGTGGACTGCACATGAAGAATGTTCTTTTACAGGGTATTTAACAAGTGGAAGGAACCACCCCAAGCTCCTGCCTATCTGCTTTCCTTAACCTGGATCTATGCAAAAGCTTCTCCTATAGAAACACCCAAACTTTTCCCAAAGCCCAGCCATGGAATTCAGTTAGATAACATTTCCCCTCTAAATTCCCATCTGTTCTTTGAAATTCTCTGCCTTCTTGACTTCAACATTTGATTTTCCAGTCTGTGTGATTTTTATTTTAATTCTGTGCTTACATCTTCACTTTTTATGCCACTACAGCACTTCAATTTGTCCTATGTGTGCGTTGGGTTTTCTTTAATTATCGACTTTGCTAAGCCAAATCCCTCCCCCACGTGCTCTTCAAAATCCTGGTCTCCCCAGTTCCTCCAAGTCCTGACTCCAGTGAAGGAACAGCCACTACTATCCAGAGATTTGAGTCCTTCAGGGAGAAGAGAGAATAGAAATTCTTGGAATAATCTTTTGAGGTGCCCTGGATGCTTCCAACAGCAAATCCACAGGAACAGCACAGCCAGCTCTGCCTACTGATAACTGAACATTTTCCCAGCAAGCCATTAATGCATTTTCAGTTCTGTTCCCATCACCCTGACAATAAAAGGACATCCTGGAAGTCTGGGAAGAGGCACCAGGAGCATTTACTTCCACAGGCACTGAGAGTTTCTGCTCCTCCTCTTTGTCTTATGTCATTACTCTTCCTCAAAATTAACTGCAAAATCCAGGAAAAGGACAGGGAATGTCCTGCTTTAATAAATTCTGCTCAAATCACTAAAAACTGGTCAAGTGTTAAACTGAGTAGACACCTCACACCATCACTCTCTCTCAAAAGTCTCAGCAATGGCCAAGTTTGTTATATTGAAGACTTTTCCATGCTAAGGACATGGATTACTGATGGAAAAGCAACACTAAAAACTCAGTTCATAGAGAACTGAAGGCAAGGGAGTGTTCAAAGAGCTCAGGCACAAAAAAGTCTCTGTACCATCAAACACCATGCAGAAGAAGGCAGATGACTTATTCACATACTTTCAGAATTACTAAAAATAAGTCTTAAGCCAGTTCTAAGATAGTTATGGAGGGTGAAGAAAGAACTATTATAGGTAACCAAAAGGAGAAAAATCTCCTTTGGCCCAACATTTTTTTAAGTGAGGATAATACTGGATTTTTATTTACTTGTTTTTAAGGAAGTTAAAGGAAGAATATTAACCAACCATTTTACAAAACTGAAAATCGGCTTCAAAAATCACCATCTGAAAATCACTGCCAACTTTTAGATGAAAACTGATACTTGAGGCAGGAATTTAATGATGATTTTTTTGTTTGTTTCTTTTCTGCTCAATGAGACATGGTGATCTTGCTTAATAATGTCACAGTACTTTGAAGAGAGAGAAGAGACTTTGGCAACTCCAAGGAAAAGTTTCCCAGACAACATAATTAACAGCAGCATTAAATAAAGATCAGGCCTTCAAAGCAAACAATATGTAAATCAAGCACCAAACAATGCTCAGGCTTAATTTTAATAGCAGTTCTGTGAAAGCCACATCAATATATTGATCACTGGGAAATACTTTTAACTACTAACGAGCACTAGGGAAGGCTGAAGGGAAAAACAGCACCAATTTCCCAACAAAAAGCAGTTTAATTCCAGATGTTGCATCCTGCTCTCCAAGCCCCAGCCCCACCGTGCTGCTGCTGAGCTGTGAGCCCGTCTTTGCTGGGAATTCCTACTAGCACATCCCAGTTTTTTAGCTGAACACCCTGCCAGGCTCCAAGGCTGCCAGACTGCAGTGGATCTGATGTGCTCTGCATGTGAAACACCCGGGATGAGCCGGGAGATGTCATGGAAAACACGGCTGCCAAGCTGGAGCCGCAGGGAGCAGGGACATCCCCCCGGACACAGGGGACTCCGCATGGGGCAGTGTCATCCTGGTCCCCACCCAGCTCCCCACAGCCCTTCCTGAGTCACAGCAGCTCCCTGCAATGACTCAGTCCCCATGGAATGACCCTCCCACGCTCCCCACTCAGTGCTGGTGCAGCCAGGAGAACAAGGGATCGCTCCATGGCAACCGAGCAGGGAATCACACCGAGGGCACAGGCTGCCAACGGCAAAGATTCCCTTTGGTGGCTGCCACCAGCTTCCCACAGCCTTGGGATGCGCTCAGCCAGCTGACAAACAGGACAAACGCACGGAATGCAAGGTGGGAAAGGAACACACGAAGCCAAGGCCACTCCTGGGAAGGTGTGGGAACGTGAGGGTGACCTCCAGGTAACACATCCTCCCCCAGCACCCTTTCTGCACTCAGGAGAGAACATCAGAGCTGTCCTCAGCCCTGAGATATGGATATTGCACCTTGGGATAACAAACCAGCATATTTGGGAGCAGAGCCCTGATATTACCTGCTCTTGAGAGCAAACTCATCCTCTCCCCCAGTGACATTTTTCAGAGAGAAGTGAAATGACACAGAGCCTGTTCGGTGCATTTCAGGGGAAGAGCCTCAACTATATGGGAAACAATATCCCTGGTTCCACTTCACTTGGATTCTTCTGGTTTTTTTCAGAGACATCAACTGCTCTGGAGCAAAAGGGAAAAGCTTGGATGGTTCACACACTCACCCACACAATCCAATCCAGCAAACAGCCACATGGAATGGGGATGGAGGAGGCAGCAGAGTCAGCACACAGATCCAAGCCTGCTGTGAGGAGCAGCAGCTCCAGCAGCTCTGGGCACTCACCGTTCTGGGTAAGTTTTGTTGAACAGACCAGGGTGGAAATCTGGAAGGAGTCTTTGCTGATGGTGCAGCTCCCAAGGTTCTGCATGCTCTTGCCTGTTGCTGAGTGTCCCTTCTCCTCCAGCTCAATTTTTGTGGATGGCAGACTGAGATAGGTCGAGGCATCCTCCAGCTTCTTGGCCTCTGCCTACAGGGATGTTTGAAACACAGCAGGAGAAAATATCCTGTCAAAACCTCAGCAATAGGAAAATTTTAACCTTTACACTGGATTTTCTTAGGTTTGGAGCTATCAAATGCATCTCTAACAGTATTCATTTAGCACGGCTACATTAGAGCCAAAATGGGATTACTTAAAAGGCCACAGAATGCACTTTCCCCAACCCACAAAAAAAGTCAACAACAAACCCTGCTGAAATTACAACATAATAAAGGTTTGACACTCAATCTCCCACATAAACCAACTGCTCAGGACTTGCTGCTTAGTTTGATTTAACAGCAGAGTTCTAAACACATTTTCCAGTGTAATTCTGGAACAGAATTCCCCAAAAGTCAGTCAGTGGAGCTTCCCTGCTGGGAAGTCTAAATTCTACCTTGTAAACTATAAGGTCGTGCTCTCCATCCCTCAGAGTTGTCCCATCATATCTCATGAGCTTCACAAATGCCAGAGCAAATATTTTCTCAGATTTGTCTTTGGCTGTTACAAAAAAAAAAAAATATACACCACCACATAATTACTTCTACAGTCAGGACACTTAAATCTCACAAACATGGACAACCCGTCACTGAGTGACCACTGCAAAGATTCTCATGTAAATTAAGTGTACAAAAAACTGGGGAAGTCTTCTAAAAGCAAGACAGAACAAAAAAAAAAATGCCAAATGAATACATCAACAATAACCAGATGCTTCTTATTTCCATAGTCTGTCTGTTCTTTTTGGAAAGCTTTATAAAGGCAAATTTTAAAAACAAAACAGAAATGTGATGCATTGAGAAAGCCCAGGTTTTTATAAGAATGGCAGTGTTTGGGAGCTGGAATAAAGATTAAACACCAGCACTGAGGATCTCATCAGAGCACAGAGCCCTGAGGACAGACATTTGGAGGGGGAACATTAGAGGCAAAACAAAAACTGGATCCATAAATGCAGATGAAGTGCCTCAGTTTTTTGAAAGCTGACCCATTCTGCAGCCAACAGGAACTAAAAAATGCATCCAGCTTCTTCTTGGTCAAATATGCTGGCAAAAGTTTAAAATAAAGCAACAGATGAAGGAGAGATCACAAAGGAAGCTGAGAAATAAAGCCAGAAGGAAAGTGTCATCATCTTGAGACAGCCCAAGGAGCCTGGGAGAAAGCCCTTGTTAATATTTAGGAGTGACCTCTTTTAAATATTTAGGCTGTGGCCAACCTAAATATTTGAGTCATCATAAGAACATTTCTGACTCTAATAATTTGTAGCACACAGTCAAAATTCTGATAATAATGACAATGACTTTTGGAACATTGTTTTCCTTAAAAAGTATCATTGTCTAGATTATTTTACCAATTTTCTTAATCCCAAAGTCTTTAATTACTGATGCTAGACTTTCACATTCCCATTTCTTGAAGATCTTTATTACTCCCTACCTCTAAGATAAAAAATACCACAATCCTCTGAATTATTAATGAAAAGCTTTACTCCATTAGTAAATGGAGTACATCTAGTAAATGTACTAGTAAAAAATTCCATTTGTTCCTTTGGAGAAAATAACTGGGCAGGGAAGGAAAAATTCAATCAGGGTAGGTAAGAGTGAGGAAGATGTAACGGGAAAAAGGAGCTGTAATGACAAAGTATCACAAATTTAATCCTGCACTAAAAGCAATGGCAATAATCAGTTCTGGCTTGGGAATGTGGGAATGGCATCCCTGCTCCAGGATTCCCAAGGATGATGCCTTGTGCAGGCTGCCCTAGAGCAGAGGCTGGACAGAGCTAAAGCATAAAGCAGGGATTGATTCAAAGGATCTCCTCCATGGATCCACCTTGGGCAGCACAAGAGCCCAGCCAGGGCTGCACCCAGGATGAACCCAAATGGTCCCAAAATGCACGAGCGCTCACGGGGTCTCTCCCTGGGATCAGCTCTGCTCCATGTGCACATTGCAGTTCAGTGTCCAATTCCAGCTCAGCCCCTGCACTCCCATCCTGCTTGTTTTTCTCTCTCCAGCCCACGGGGTTTGTGCTCCTGGGCTGAGATTTGGATCATTTGTCCTTGGTGCCCAGCTGGAGCAGGAATTGTTTTGCCTCCCTGCTCTGTGCACAGAGCTCACCATCCCCTGATGTGAACCCAGACCCACACACTAAAGCAGAATAGAATCTGAAAACAGAAAAGCTAAACCTGAGGCATCAAGGAGAGGCTGAGTTACTCACAGTCCTGGGAGGATCTGTGGCGGAAGGTGAACCTCAGGTGGCTGCGGTTCACGTCCTCAATGGGGATTGCAACCTGGCACCAGGGACAGGAGAGTGAAATGGTCAGGGCAGCAGCTTCAGCCTCCCCCAACCCCATCCAGACATCTTCCAGCACTTCCAAATGACCAGTGAGTGAGAATCCCATCAGCACATCCATCCCCAGCAGCCCCTCTCTGTCTACAGGCATGACAAGGCACCTTTGGAGTGACAATTCCAGAGTAGCTGCAAGGCCCTTGTGAGCACACAGCCCCTGCTCCCACTGCTGCAGGGACTGCATGGACTCCAGAAAGCCAACATCAACCTCCAAACGTGGCAGTGGAAAGGTTATTACCCCAGCAAAATGAGCAGGCTTAAAGCACAACCCAAACAGTGATGAGTCCTACACGAGGGGAGGGGAGGAGAAGGAAATGGTCAGGACAGCACCTTCAGCCTCCCCAACCCCATCCAGCCATCTTCCCAATGATCAATGAGTGACAATCCCAGCAGCACATCCATCCTCTGCCATTCCAACAGTCCTTTTCTGCCTACAAACACAATAAGGCAACTTTGGGTGGAAATTCTGGTGTGGGGAGCAGCTGCAAGGCCCTTGTGAGCACACAGCCCCTGCTCACAGATAGACTGAATGGATTTCAGATTTGCAACATTCCAACAGCCCTTTTCTGTCTACAGACACAATAAGGCAACTTTGGGTGGAAATTCTGGTGTGGGGAGCAGCTGCAAGGCCCTTGTGAGCACACAGAGTAAGAGGATTTCAGATTTGCAATCTCCAAACGTGGCAGTGGAAAGGTTATTACCCCAGCAAAATGAGCAGGTTTAAAGTACAGCCAGCTCCCCAAACAGTGAGGAATCCAACACTATGGCAAATGTGTTTCAGCCTTAATAAACTGCTCTCCTCCAGGTCAGCTTCATGGAAAGAGAGCAAACCATTCCTGAAGAGAATGGTGCTGGAGTTTCCCCACACCAGTCATCCTGAGCAATGGCTGAAATAAAATTCAATATGCAATAAAAGTCAAAGCCTTTCTTGGCTGAGTTATTCCTTGCCCTGCTGAACACAGGCACTGAATTTCCCCAGTTTTGTTTCCCACTGGAAGCTGTATTAATGGCACATTAACACCCAGAGAAGTTATTTTAACAGTTTAAATACCTTTACAGTCTCAAACCAGCGAGGCTGCTTTACTTGGTAATAGATCACTGACTTGTACTCTGAGATGGCTTCATCACCAGCACCAGGAAAAATAACACTCTGCAAAAACAAACAGAAGGGGAAGCCTTTATGTCACTTAAACTCCACTTTTTCAGCCAAATAAACAAAAAAAATCAGTGAAGTAGGTCACAAGAAGAGAGAATGCTCCTAATGAAATTGGAGGGGAAGCCTTTATGTCACTTAAACTCCACTTTTTCAGTCAAACAAACAAAAAATAAATAAGTGAAGTAGGTCAGAAGAAGAGAGAATGCTCCTCATGAAATTGCTACCAAAATGCATGCATTGATAAGGCAAGATGTATTTAATGATGACAAAAGTTGGGTTGAAAATAAAACCTGGGACCTTAAGCTGACAAATACAGCTGTTGAAAAGGCTTAACATGATATGTATCAAAATCAAAAAGCCCCCAGACATTAAATACTTTAATACCTCTAATCTCTTGCCATCTTCATCATAAACAGACACTGTGACTTCCACATTCTTTGCTGTGGTTTTACTGCCTTTGTCAAAATCTCCCTGCACCAAGGTGACGTAGATGTCATTTCGAACATCTCCTACAAGGGAAAGCAGAGCACAAAATAACCCACAATTCTCACAGCAAACCCAAGCATTTGGGAAACCAAGGACACACAGAAACAATGGCAGAACATTTCAAACACCACATTACCATTTATTTTATTTTTACACTACTTCTTTCGGTATTCACTTGAAAGGAAAAGTTTCCACACAGTCATTTATCCCATACAAAGGCATTTTGCAATTTAAAATATTTTAACAGCCTACAAGAGGTCTCTAATTTGTTACAGCAAGAAGAGGTTTGATGTTTTTGCTGGCCTGGGGGTTGCAGGGGAGGGTTGTATTTAGATTTATGACTAAAAATGCTCCTCAGCTCCACCCCAATTCAACTGAAATTTTGACAATGAGCTGGGGAAACAAGGTGAGGGTTGTATTTAGATTTATGACTAAAAATGCTCCTCAGCTCCACCATTGGCTCCACCAATTCAACTGAAATTCTGACAATGAGCTGGGGAAACAAGGGATTTCCAATAATTTTATGAGCCAGCACAGGATGCAAACAAGGTGCTGAGGCACTCACACTTGTGAAGAGACTGTAAAACCTGTGACAGACCTCTGTCAGCAGCCACAGGGAGACCCTGAACTGGGATGGGCTCTGGAAACATCTCACGGATCCCCCAGAGCCCAGCAATCTGAAAAGGATGCTGCAGGTTCTGCTCTTGCTCATGGCAGTTTTTATTTTGAGAAGCACCACGTTTTTGGGTTGGTTTTCATGGATTTTGACTTGTTTGTTGTTTTGTGGGGTTTTTTTTTGTAAACACCTGAACTGAACATGCACAGAATACATGTATTTTTAAAAACTGATGTGGCTCTCTTTCAAATGCATTATCCATTTCTGGTACAAACCCTAAGAGAGCTGCTATCTCTAAATCAAGCCTGTGCCTCAAAAATCTGCTTTGGATTCAGCACAGGAGAGAAGTTTTACATATGCCCTTGCTATGGGATAAAACAAAGTGTGTACTTTGTGTACATTCTTTTTAACTGGGAAAAAAAAAAGGAGAATTTCCACCCTCACTGGGATTTCCTGTCTTCTTGATGGGGGTGGGAGCTTTATTTACTGATGCTGGTATTACCAAATCATTTGATGGTTGTTTTTTTTTTTTGCATACCATACCTCAAATTCATCTGTAATTATTTTTTCCTCCAAAACCTCTCATACATACAGACATTTAAAGCAGGTTAAAATATAACAAAGCAGCATTAATTAAGTGCCTTACCAGGCATGATAATCTCAGGAAATCCCATTTTCCGAGCCACTGCTGTTGACCTGTCCACTAAGTGTGGAAACTCTTTCCTAATCTGATGAATATCTCCTGGAAGAAGTTTCAAAGTCACCCACAGACCTGTTGTGTAAAAAAACCGTTATGAAACTGCTGGGATTTATTCCTACTTACTACAGATTTCTTTCCAGAACTTGAAAAATGTAAAAACATTAAAATAATTAGGTACATTAAGATAACTGATCTTCCTTTAAAAAAAAATTGAAAATATTTTCAAGCACTCAACAGATCTCATCACTTCACACAAAAATACGAGTACAGCACACAGAATTATTTCTGATTATGTTCCATGTTCTTTGTAATGAGATGTTTATCTTCCATGGGGAAAAAGAGAAGGAGCAAGGACGATTTGCATGGAAAGACCCAAGGATTCCAAGCAAGCAATACCAGCAGATCCATGCCCCAAACTGATTGATCACCACCCCATAAGCTGTTTTTACTGCTCTGAGCACACAAATCTACAGCATCAGCTTCACACAGCTGATATTTTTCTGCTCAGTAGCAGAAGAAGCCACTAAAAAGCTGCTGCTTGCCAACTAACATCAGGCACATTTGTTACAGGAAAAAGAAAGATGCCAAAGTGGAAAAAAACCCAAAAAAAAAAAAAAAAAAAAAACCAAAAAAAAAAAAAAACAAACCAACAAAAAAACAAACCAACCCAAAGAAGCCTCCACTTGGTGAAGTGGCTGGCAATCAAGTTTAAGCAAAAAATAATCACAGCAGCAATTTGCAGAAGAAAATCCTAAAATTAAAAGCTATGAAAAACACCCCAAAAATATTCATCCACAAAATAAATTGTGGGTTACCCTGTTAGAGAATTAACTGTACATTCATTTTGTGTACACTTGGCAGCTTGTCTTTTCCATGGTATCTCTGTAAGAGTTTCTGGGCTGATTTGTTGCCAGGGATGGTTCTGACAGCTGCAATTTCACTGAACTGCAACTGTACCTGCACTGCCTGGCTAAGGAACAACTCCCAATCCTTTTTCTGTCTGATTGGGCACTCTTTTTTAGGGAAAGAATCTGGAATGAATCAAAGACACTGAAATGTTTCCTCCTGTGGGACACACACCAGCCACAGGTGAAAACAAGGAGGGGAAGCAGATAAAACTTTTCCTCATTAGCTAAAGGAGAATCTAAATATAAGGTTTATGTAAAATTTTGTTTGCTATTAAATAGCAAAAATCAGAGGAAAGTGTGCAGTTTTCCTGGGGTTTGGTCAGATGTGGAGTGATACAGATATTCACAGAGAGTTTGGTGGAAACTCTGTATGAATCAGCATAACTCCACATTAATCCAGAATTGCAGAAAATCTTGAAGCCATCACAGAGACATCATGGTCATGGCATCACACACAAAAATAAATCAGCCCAGAGCAGTGGCCTAGAGAAGGCACCAGGGAAGGTTTCAGAGGGGTTGCCTGGCTCTGGCTCCCTCCTCACCTCCTGTGAGCTCAGGTCTCCTGGGGAAGGAGCAAAATGTTCCAAGTGCAGCTGCAGAGAGCAAAGATATGGGGAAGGAAGAGAAGGGAGGGAACATCCCTTCCTTCAGCATGGAGAGGTAAAAACCCACAGCTCAAAGGCACAAGAGGTGAGTCCTTGAGTCACTACCTCCAGCAGAGGATCTGTCATGGGATGGGTGGGGTTGGAAGGGACTTCTGGAGATGATCCAGTCCTGCCAAGGGGAGTAGGTACACAGGAACGTGTTCAGGTGGGTTGGGAATGTCTGCACAAAGGGAAACTCCACATCCTCCCTGGGCAGCTGTTCCAGAGCTCTGCCACCCTTCATGGACAGAAGTTCTTCCTCATGGTGAGGTGGAACTTGTTGTGTTTTAGTTTATGGCCACTACTCCTCATCCTGTCATGGGGAACCACCGAAAAGAGTCTGGCCCCATCCCCTGGCACCCTCTGGATGTATTTATATGGAATAATGAGATTCCCTCTCAGTCTCCTCGTCCCCAGAGTAACCAAGCTCAGCTCCCTCACTCCCTGCTCGTCAGAGATGTTCAGAGCCTCGATCATCTTGATGGCTTCCCCTGGACTCTCTCCAGCAGAAACATAAAGACATCCAAGAGCTGAACAATGCTACAACATGCAGAGTCCACACTGGGCAGGGGCAAAATTATGGGGAAGGGAGAAAAGCAGGCTGAGCCCTGAGGTGTGGAGAATGGAGGAACAAAACCATACAAACAACTTTTTGATCCCAAAATCAAAACCACCACGACACGAAGCAAACCAAGGTGCACAGAATGAGCAGTACCTACCCTGACCCTTGTGGTTGACTTCTTTAGCAGCAATCACTTTGTTTATAACAGTCTGCAGGAAATCATTCTCCCCTGCCACCCTGGGTGAAAAACGGGATGATATGTTCAGCTGCTTGTGTCGAATGGCGTCATCCAACGCTAGCCTGGAGGATGCACATGACGACCAACACCAGGAGACAAAGGGGCACAGAAAACCAGAAGTCACAGTGACAAGGGAACACAAAAGATCGTATCACAGTTGTGACAAAGAGTATTTATTAGTCAACGCAGGACAAAGGACAGGAAAGGTAACAAGAAAGACAGAGGGAGATCATTAATCAGAAGAACGCTGATCTACCACAGAGAGTCCAGCACACCTGTGAGGGCTCTGCTCCCTCAGGGACAGGGACAGTCCTCAGGGAGCAGGGGGAATCCCCAGTTAAGCAGTGAAAACCCACACAGGCAGTTCTCTTTTATATAAATATCGAAATATAGATATATTCATAGCAGACTGGCCCTGCAACACCTCCAGGGTCACCTCTGTCATTCCACAGGTGGAGTGCCCAAAGGAAAAGCTCCCATCAATCTCACAGGGAAAAGGAGGAGAAGAGCAGACAACCCAAACTCGGTGAACAAATGAGAAGATGGGGACGATAAATAAACAGCAGCATTAGGTGGCACTGAAGTAAATCTTGCCAAGTGCTTTTGACAGCCATTGTGCTGGTGGCCAGTGAATGAATACAAACAAAGATATGAAAACAGAATTGCATGTGGTACAACAGAAACAAAGCATGGGATGAGGAGAAAAATGTGCCTCATATACACAGCCCAAGTCTAATGTTGGAAATGACAACACCAGCATTCACCCTGCGTTCATTTCTACCTTATTCACGTCCTTTGGGATAGACTTTTTCAGGAGAATGTTCTCCTTTATTACAGGGGAAAAAGAAAAGTCACATTGTGCATCTTTTTAAAGCTCTGTGTATATGTAACAGGAAAAATGAATCAGTGCTAATGGAGCAGAAAACTGGATGTTCCATTAGCACCCCCTCTGAAAGGTTCATTTTCATTGCACACTTCCACACTGGCTAAAAAACAACTTTGCTGTTGTTTACCACACAATAAATGTATCCTTCTCTTCCCCAAACCCCACTTTCCTTGAAAAAAGGAATTGTACTTTGATTTTGTCATTAACCTGTCAGGACCTCACACCTTGCAGTCCTCTCACCAGCCCTTCACCTTCAAACCACAAGGGCTCCCTGAATTATGCCTATTTCTCAAAACAAAGTTAATTTATGATTTTATTACATCAAGCTTTTAAAAAAATATTATTAAAAGCCCATCTGAATATCCATTAGTGTATTAATCAAGGATTTTAGCTCCCATAGCTATGTTTTGCCTTTTGGAACAGACGGCAGTCCAACATGTTCCACAATGGGAGAACTAAGCATCCATGTAAATTTATTTATTTATTTACTTCATGTAAATTTATTTGCCTTATCCCTTCTACCTTTCCTCACTTCATGGAAGGAAAAATTTGGGATTTAGGGATGGAACATGATCTCTATTGATTTCAGGCAGAGCTAAGCCAGCAATTAACTAACTTTAAGCGTTTCACGTCTTACACATACTCCCCCTGACATCTTGAAACAAAAAGAAAACAAGGCTGCAAAACTGGGAATGGATGCTTTAAACTCCAAAAACCCTTAAGTTTCTGGGGATATCACTGATGCAGCTAATGGCAAATGCTCTGGGAAGATAGATGAGCAATATTACTAAGGAGAAAATATCCCATTATTAAAGAAATTAACTTAAAATACTAGCTTTTTTTTTAAATCAAAGTTAAAATCTTGGTTTTTTCACCCCTGCTTGTTCTTGCAACTGCTCCCTACTTACGGCTGGAAGGGGATGAAGTGCTGCTTGTCCTCATCATCAACCTTCCCGTTAATGATGTCAGTAACATCCATCACTGCAAAGACAAACCAAGGGCACTGAGTGAACTCAGCAACGTGGGAAGAGGGAACCCCCCCAGGGAACTGAAGCCACAGTGACTCAGAAGAGAGGTGGAATTATCAACTGTGGAATTTCAGAGCCGTCCGTGGAATAACACGGTGCAAATGAGCTTTGGAATCTCAGCTACACAAACCCTGGTGGGCACAGGATACAGCAACCAGTCTGATGGGATTTGTAACAACTCTGAGTTTACACAACCCCACAGCAGCTCCACCACCCGGTTTCCAGGGAAGAACTGAAGAGGAGATGGAGAGATCACCCCAGGGGTACCTGCCACCCCGAAGGGTCTGCGCAGCCCCGAGGTCAGCTTCCTGGTGTTGTTGTCCCGCAGCTCCATCCTGCCCACGCGCACGATCTGACACACAAAGCTGATCTTCTCTCTCTTCAGGTCCTTGCTGCCCAGGTCCTACAAACAGCAGCAACATCAGGCTGCTTTCTAATAGCTGAATTTCCAGTTCCATTTCAGCAGGCAGAGGGTTTGCTGCTCAGAATTTGCCTTTGCTGTGCAAGCCTCTAACAAAAAGTGCTCTCGGAGTAGAGCAGCTTTTCTAACAGTACTTCAACATCTCACTGGAGTTCTGTGCAAATTAATTCCTTAGGAGGTCAAACCATTTCTAGTACGTCAAAAGTCCAAAAATTCACTTTGGTTTTTCCCAGCTGTTGAGAATATTTAGCAGCCACTTAGGAGAAATGTCTCATGCAGAGACATTTCTTAGGAGAAATGTGGAATGGTTTGGGTTGGAAGGGACCTTCAAAATCATCTTGTTCCCACACTAGCAATGAGCAGGGACACCTTCCACTATCCCAGGCTGCTCCAACACAGCCTTGGACACTTTCCAGGGATCCAGGAGCAGTCACAGCTTTTCTGGGCACCCTGTGCCAGGGCCTGCCCACCCTCCCAGGGAAAATTCCTTCCCAATACCCCATTCATCCCTGCCCTGTGGCAGTGGGAGCCATTCCCCTCTGTCCTGTCACTCCATCCCTTGCCCTAGAGCCCCTCCCAGCTCTGTTTCCCCCTGCAGAGGTGCCCCACGCTGGTCCCACCAGGGTGGCCCCAGGCCCTGGCAGGGCGCACTCACGGTGAACACGGCCCGCAGGTTGTGCAGTCTGTCAATGTCCTTGGGGAGGCCACAGCTCGACCACCTCACCAGGTAGTTCTCACTGAGAAGAACAATATTTTGAAGACTTTTTGTATAAAACATAAAGCAACAGAACCACAGAATGCTTTGGGCTGGAAGGGATCACAAAGAACATCTCCTTCCACCCCTGCCATGGGCAGGGACACCTTTCCACTATCCCAGGGTGCTCCAAGCCGCAGTGTCCAACCTGGGCTTGGCCACTGCCAGGGACTGGGACAATCCCACAACCTCTTTGGGAAACCCATGCCAGCACCTCACCCCCCTCCCAAGAAAGGATTTCATCCTAATATCCCATGTAAATCTACCCTCTTTCAGCTTAAAGCCATTCCCCCATACACTATCACTGAATGCCCTTTAACATAAGCAGATGAAATCAACTTCAGAATTTACAGGAGACTTTTCAACCCAATTTCCTTTTCCTAAGGAAACAAATATTGAGCAGGGAGCATTTCCCTTAGTGCACACAATTTTTATAAAGAAAGCAGCTCCTCAGCAACCAAGTGTGGGAATTCTGCAGCTCAGCAAGGGCACAGCCCTTGCAGGTGTGTTCACCTTGAATTTCCATCTGCTCTTGGGGAACCACAAGCACAGCACAAGCCTGGAACATGCCCCAGGTGAAGGGACCTGCCTCTGCTTTTCACAGCAATTTGACTTTGCTAAGCCCCAGAAGTCCCTCAGTACCATCCCTGAGAGAGCACAGATAAAAATGGCCCTGACCTGATGAATTTGGATTCCAGGGGGTCATACAGAGACATCAGGACTTCAGCATCTTCTCCTATTTTACACACGACGTTTTTTAAATTTACAAATAAAGCAAATGAAGGAGTGGCAGCAAACTTGGCTTGTCTGTTGATATCAATATTCTGCTTCTGAGACTGCAATTGAAGAACAAAATAAAGTTTAACTCAGCCAACAGACATCCAGCTGCTATAAAACTTTCTAAAACCTTCCAGAAAGGAGGTTTCCATTGAGTGTCTGCTCCTGTGATCTTTTTTCTGTTAAGTTTTATGACAGACAGATTTTCTGGATCTGTCTTGAAGTGCCACACCATAAGGAAGAAGTTAAAAAAGAAAATAAGAGAAAAAGGAGAGAAGAGATGTCTTCACTTATTAAGTAGGGAGAACCAAATGAAGAAATAGAGCCTCAAACATACCTGAAAAAAATCCAGGAACACACAATAAATAGAAACAGAAAAGTTCTTCCTTTTAAAAATAAGGATTTTGAACTGCAAAGCTGCTGACAGTTCAAGACTGAGAAGGGCTTTAAATTTGCCCCTTTCATTTCAACAAAAAGTGTTTAGGATTGGCATAAAGAAACCACACAAGAATGAGGATTTTAGTCTTTGTGATTCTCAAACAGAAACTCCGATGACAAGCTAACTTACAAACCTCTCACATGCACATCTGATATTAACCCACAAATGCAGCTGATTTATTCACACAGGTCTGAACCATAAATTCTACTAAAGCCTTTAAAGGATGTAAAAAAATCCCAGCCTAACACAAAACTTCTTACAAAATTTTTAAGCCTGATAATTCTTCATAAACACATCAAATCCCTCATTACCAATGCTAAAAATAACAGTCATCCAATTAGTTTACAGCCTTGTGTTTCCCAGGGAAAAGCCAGAGAGTCTCTCACTTTTTCCTCCTGTAGCCTCTCTTCCACTTGCTTGGAAGCAATTTCATGTGCTCTGAAAAGGCTGATGGTGCTGGTCTGCTCTGGGTCCAAAATGTTGCCATCTTCATCTCTAACCACCAGATCTAAATCCAGAATTCTACACAAGACAGCAAATATGTTTGTGAATTAACAGTGCTGAAAGGAAAGCATAAAAAGCACCTGCCAAGTGTTCAACTAGCACACCTGACACGTGATGGAAAAGCGATTATCTGAGACGTGATAATGCAATTTAACATGTCAGCAACCTGGAGATCCAAGGCACTTATTACCACAGCACAGGAAGAAGGGATGGAAATGAAACAGCACAACAGCTGGGGAAGAACTTCTTCAACAAACAAATTTGCCAGAGACTTGGTCTCCTCCTCTAATTTATCCAACAGTCTGAACAACCAAGTCCCACCACACACAGCTCGTGTCTCCCACTCCCAACTCATGTTTTACCCACACCCCACAAGATGAGGCAGAAGTTGTTTCCTTTTTTAAAGCAGAAGCCAGATCTCTGTCAGCAGGGTGTTAACATCCATAATTACCTTCTGCAGAGGAAGCTTTCTGCCACAATCAAATCCAGGCTCAGGAAAAAATTTTCACTTTTCTCCACATTTTCCACAGTGCTGGCAGCAGCAGCAAGGGTTAAAAAAATCAGGTTTCCTTCCCTAAGACTGCCCTTGTCACCTCCACCCCAATAAATGTGTCCCTAGCTCCTTTTAACTCTGTGGTCAGCCCTCCCAGTGGAGCTGCTCTAACTTTAGAGTTGAAATATATTTGATCAATGAGCTTAAATCAAATTTGCTGTGTCTGCTAAGTCACACAGGGGTTCATGATTTATCTGAAAGTAAATTCCATCTGGGCACAACCTGCAAGGACTTGGAAACAGGGCTGTGGCACACAGAGATATTTCCATGGACTTGGAGGATTCCTCCTCACCCCTGGAAGTGTTAAACCCTTGAGTGGGGTCAACACCCCAACCCCTCCAATTAACTGCACTGCATTAATTGCAGGGGAGACAAAGATCACTCAAGCTGCAGGGTGGAGGCAGCAGATTTTTAAACTCTGCTCTGGAGCTGGACCCAGCCACCACAAAACTCTCCAGCATCCCCAGAACATCTCACTCCCAGATTAATTTTCCGGTGAGAAAATGGTTTCATCACTGAAAGCAAACAGAAAAGCAGCCAAAGTTGTTTTCTTCCTCCCTACTACTGTTCCCTGGACAGCAGCCACAGCAGGAGAAACACCCACAGAGCACTGGAACTGACAGAGTCCCTCCATGGGAGAAACTGCCCGGGCCAGGGGAAAAGCTCAGAAATTCAGGGAAAGTCTCATAACCCACACTACAACACACCAATGTTTGCACAGGCTGTCAAAGGAGTCGAAGCAAACCCTTCTTTGATTCAATTCCTTTGTTTTAGCCTTTAACTTGCAAATGATGCTTGGGAAAAAAAAAATCTGATTTTTTTCCCTAAGTGTCCCAGTTACAGCCATTTGCAAGTGAACAGAAAAATGCAGCTTTTTCACAACAAAATTACCTGACCCAATTTCAGAAAGATATTAAAAATACAGATTCCTAAGGCCATTTTTGCTTCCTCAGTTATTCTGACAATATGCTGCACAACTTCTGTCTGTATTTACAGAAGGAAAAAAAAAACTTATTTACAAATTAGTGTTTCACAAGTCAGGAAAGGTTAGGACATGATTAGGACAGAAAACATTTAGAATTATTTGGGTTGGGACCTCAAAGGTGACCCAGTATTTATAAAGTAGATAATGAATTCATCCTGTCTGGATCCTAAAATCCCCATTCATGCTCCTTTTAGGCACAAGTGAAGGGTTTAGGGTTTTATTAGGAACATATGTTATCTTTCAGTGGTGAGCATTTACTCAGAAGTTCACATTCACCTCCCTGCTGCATCCCCAGAGAACCTTCTGATCACTTAATTAGCCCATCAGAACATTACAAACACAAAGCACAGCACAAGATGTTCCACTGGATCTGAAGGCTGAGCATCTGGAGGTTATTCAGAGCAACTTCTACCAACTCCTTGGGCAGATGGTGAAATCCAGTAGCCAAACAAATAATCCCAACAACATCTGGGTAATTGTCTGCAGAGGTACCACTGTCCATACCTCAGACTGCAAATGATAATTACTGACTGACTGGAATGCAGTTACTGATTATTTTTTTAATTTATTTTTTTTAATCACAGCTTTTGCTGATAAAGTACATGAGCAGAAATCCTGCAAGTTTGGCAGTTCTTAACGAATCAAACAAAAATAAATGAAATGTGGTGAGATATTTGCATCACAAAGCGTTGAAAGACTGGGTTGATGCAAAGTTTTTCATTCCCCAGGTGTGCCTGCCAGAATCCCACACAATAGGCAGGACTGAAGGGAGCACCACAACATGTTTTGTCTCTCAGTATTCAAAACGCTGCTTCCAATGATGAGGAGTAAGATTTGATTTCTTATTTTTGATCAAAAATGCAAAATCATAATTGTACAGACAAGTTATAATCTAAAACTTGCATTTACAGAAATTGTCTTTAAACCCAGCCAACCATCTGGGGAGAGAATACATCTGATCACTAAAATATCCAACACATGCAACCTGCACTGCTTTTTGGGGCAATATTTCCTTCCCAGCTTCCACTCTTGTGTGCTAAATAGCTCCTTTCTTTTATGAAATCTCCCTGCTCATCTCATGCTACCAGCTGGATGCTGTGGAAGGAGAGGAACCAAGAGCTAAATGATGCTTCTGAGCCAAATCCTTCAACATCACATTACAGCTGAGTGACTCGAGGGCACAGGCAGCTGGTGCTGCTCAGAGGGTGACAACTGTTTGTGCCACAGAAGCAAGTGGAGTTTAAAATTCTATTTTCAAGGCAGGCAATACTTGCACTTTTGAATTGGCCTTAAAAAAATTACAGCTTCATACCATTGTCAAATTGATGATACCATCAAGTGAGAGAGATGGATTCCACTTTACATATTATACTTTAAAGATGCTGCCTCAACTTCAATCTTTATCTTGCTGTAACAGAAGTGTGAATACACAAATATTTCATCTACAGCTCCAGGGGAAAAAAAAATCCTCCAAGAATTCACTGACAGCTGATGTCTTACACAGGGTGATCTGGATTCAGGCAGAAAAACCTGGGAAAAGGTCCTCACAAACCTGTTGCCATAATCAATTTTGGCAGTCACTTTCTTTTTCAGCTCCTTGAGCTCATCCTGGGGCAGGGTCCCAGAGAGGATTTGGGATCTCCACTCGATCAGGTCGTAAATCATGTGCCGGACGCTGCGGAACATTTCCCTGTTGTCCTGCTGTTGTGGGGGGAAAAAGGGGGGAGAAATCAGGTTTGAAGGCTTGGGAACACCGAGGATAAATTGCAATTACCAATAGGAATTCAAAGGGTAAGTGTACAGCAGCTCTGGAACAGGAGCCTAACTTCCTACAGCACAGAACACTGAACATTCCGAGTGCTGCTTTCAGCTTTTAGGAGCTACATAGGTGTAAATTTGTAAAATAGGCTTGGGTTTATGTTACCTTAAAACCTGGGTCATGCTGTTTTCAGGCAACCAAGGGGAAAATGTCCTTTTATTGATTCCCAGGGTAGCTTTGTTCAGTGACCCTCTGCACTGAGCAGAGCAGGACTGAAAATGGTGTATTTTAACAGCAAGAGGCTCAAGTTCTGCAACAGATGGGAGAATCCTTTCTCTCCCTGCTTAAACCTCCACAACAATACTTGAAAATCCCTCATTGGGCACAACAATGCCATACAAGTCCACAGGTAACTTTTAAAGGACAGTGAAACACCAGGAAACACCTAACTGGATAGGAAGTTAAATACCTCAAGTGTTTATAAAGCCTGGAACTGTGGATATTAAATACTGCCAGCAGCATATACAAACTTTGCTTGGCAACACTCAGCTAAGCTAGGAATAATTAAATAATTACAATAAAATTTTCCACTTAAAAAAAAGCAAGGAAAAACTGCAGAAGATGCAGGAAAAGAACATAATGACTCCAAGACTCTGGGAAAAGGATATCTAACTGTGAGGCTTAAAGACTTCAGTCTGTTCAGATTATCCAAAAGCTGGCTTGATTATAGTGGGAGAACCTTCACAGGGAGAAAATACCCATTATTAAAAGCTCTTTAATGCAGCAGAGGAAGACACAACAGGCACATATGGCTGGGAGCTAAATACAGACAAACCCAAATGGGGATGAGGTTCCTGATTTTTGAGGCTGCAGGGAATCATAAACCAAAGAGATGGGAAACATTCCACATCCCCTGCTCTCTTCAAACAAAAACTGAGCATTCATTCAAGATTCAAACACAAATTACAAACTGAATCAAGGCATAAATGTGACCATTTAATGGGTTTTGATTTGCGAGATAGGGACAGCATGGAATATTCCTCAAGCCTGCAGACTGCCCAGTCTGAAACCAGTTACCTCCAGTAAACCAAACCTGCCCTGCATCCAAAATTATTAGCAAAGAACTAAAGTATTGTTTAGCACATGGAATCATAGAATGGAATGGTTTTGGAGGTACCTTAAAGCCAAGCCAGTCCCCTCACAAATTCCACTGTCCCAGGCTGCTCCAAGCCCCAACCCCAACTTCCCATCCTGGCAGTGGCCAAGGCCAGGCTGGACACTGGGGCTTGGAGCACCCTGGGATGGTGGAAGGTGTCCCTGCCCATGGCAGGGGGTGGCACTGGGTGGGATTTAGGGTCCCTCAGAACCCAAACCATGCTGGGATTCCACAGCAGTGGAACCAAGGGCAAAGCTGCTCCCAGCCCTCTTGAGCTTCTGTTCCTCCTCCTTTATTTCTACGCCTTCCCTCACCTCACAAACTCCCTGCTATTCCAACTCCTTAAAGCTCTCTCTTTAACACATAATCTGTTTCTTTTCATAGAAGATATTATCCTTTATCTTCTATATTGCCACACTACATCATTTCCATTACACTCTTACTCCTAATCTTTATTTTCATGGGTGTGATTAAAAGCCACATTAGTCAGCACAAATGTCTTCATTACACTCGGTGTCTTCACTACACAGCTTGCACTTTTATGATACAAGATTTCAAACATATTTATGGGAAACAGAGACTGCATTAAACCCTGCTTTAAATAAAGGAATTTCATGTTCCCATTATCTTGTTACAGTGACCTTGCACAATGAGAGCATCACAAGTGTGGGCCAGGTACCTTAAATCCCACAGCAGGCCTTGCTTCACACCTGAACTGCAATATTAAAAAGAAGTTTGAACTCTTGATCTCATTTATGTGCACTTTCACCTCTGCTTTTGTTACCTTCCCATCCCAGAGACTATTTTCACTGCAATTTTCTAAGAATATATTCTTATGTGGTTGAAACCTTAGCATATCAAAATAAACAAGCATGCAAATTAAGGTGTCAAGATTTGGGAACAATCAACTTTATGTAAAGGAATACTGAGAGGTTAAAGACCTACACTGATAATTTTGCAAAGCTTTCAATTTACACCCACAAATTCAACACTAAATACTCAATTATTTCTTAACAGAGACTGACAGCCTTAAGAAACAGCCTGAAGACAATTTCTTGAATAAAATTACATGTTAAATTACTCCAAATCTGTATATACCTTAAAAATAAAACATATATATAATATGTTATATATATGTTTTATATGTTATTTATATTCCATGTTTATATTTATGTTTTATATATGTTCCATGGTTTTTATATATATACACTATGTTTTATATACATAATAGAACCTACACAAAAAAGGGATTGTGATTGCAACTGCTCAACAAACTATTGCTAGATCAAGGTAACACTCAAAAAAAACCCTGATTCTGCACAAGAAAATAAAGAGATTTGAGCAAACAGGCAAGAGATTTGTGCTTTAACAAGCACAAAAAACTACTGAGATTTGTGCTTTAACAGAGATGATGCTACATGGATTTTCAGCACTGAAAGTAACCTTTAGAAACAACAACACAAGGGAAAATTCATGAAGAATTCCTTCATAAATAGCAGTTCCTTCCCATTTCTCCTGTACCTGTCCCAGCACCACTTTTCCCATAAAACCCCCCCGGTGTGAAGGTTTTCCTGAGCTGTTCTCACCACATAGAGCTGTCTCCAGATGATGGACCATTCCCTCAGCGTGGTGGTGACCTCCTGGATCAGGGGCAGCTCGTTGGGGATCACAGTCTCGTGTTGGCTGAGGAGGAAAAGTTAAAAAAAAAGGCTGAATTAGGCAGCAAGTGCAGTGAGAATGAAGAAGCACAGAATTGTTAAGGATTGAAAGGAGATTTAAGGTCATTGAGCACAACCAGCACCACCATGGTCACCACTAAGCCATGTCCCCAGTGCCACATCCACACAATTTCTCAGCAACTGCAGGAATGGTGATGCCATCACTGCACAGAGCAGCCTCTTCTGTCAAAATTTTTATATCTAATCTAAATCACCTGATCTAGAATAATTCCTGAGGAACAACTGTTCATTTCCAAAGGGAACTGAATAGAATTGGATTGGAATTAGCATCACTTGCTGTAAACTTCTAAGCAAAAATCAGATGTTATCAGATATTGAAGCACACCAGTAAAACCACACCACAAAAAAGGTATTTGGATGTGCTCAGATTACAGAATCATGGAATGCTTTGGGTTGGGAGGGATCAAAGATGATACTGAACTGATGCCTTGTGCAGGCTGCCCTAGAGCAGAGGCTGGACAGAGCTAAAGCATAAAGCAAGGATTGATTCAAAGGATCTCCTCCATGGATCCACCTTGGGCAGCACAAGAGCCCAGCCAGGGCTGCACCCAGGATGAACCCAAATGGTCCCAAAATGCACGAGCGCTCACGGGGTCTCTCCCTGGGATCAGCTCTGCTCCATGTGCACATTGCAGTTCAGTGTCCAATTCCAGCTCAGCCCCTGCACTCCCATCCTGCTTGTTTTTCTCTCTCCAGCCCAACAACCAAGATAAAAACCAGATGAGCCCAACCTGCAAGGCCACCATTTTGCTCTTTAATTGTTTTGGTTTTTGTTTTTGTTTTTTTTTTTTTTTCAAAATATTGGTTTTGCAAGTTAAAAATAAGATTTCATTCCTTACCACAAAGTTTCTGTATGATTTGTTTTAAAAAGAGGTGCCATGAAGGTAACAAACACCAGCCAGATCTTTGAATATTGCAGAAGTAGGGTGCTTAAAGGCAGTTTTGCAATCAGCAAGGAAGATGTCATTATGCAGCAATCTCATGATTAGTAGTTTGATCATTTACATATTTAACAGAGTATAAAAATAAATCAGGCACAAAGGAATAAAACATTTTAATCCTGTTTCAGTCCATTTCATACCTGGGTAATGATTTATTAATTTCACTCTACCTCCTTTTTCCTGTGGATTTGGTTTCTTTCCTGGTTTTTAACTGAACTTTTATACTCATGTTAAAGACTTCTGCCTGCATGTCCAGCAAAGCTGATTTGATAAACAAGGATCTGAAGAGCTGCTGAACAACAAACACAGCTCAAACTACTGCACACACCAGGGAAAGGAATAGGAAAAACACAAAATTACTTCTCAGTGAGGCAGAAAACTACCTGGAAACAAGTGTAAGTTACCTGGTAATGCATTGAAATGATGTGGATAAAGCAGGAAAAATGAGTTTTGCTCTTTTCAAACCAAACTTACCCTTTGCCTTCAACGATTGCTTCCTTAAGATGGATATAGGAGGCAGGGAATATGCCCTTGGGGAGGGAGGGAGAGGAAAAAAATGTGTTATTTAACCAGCTGCACACAACAGATTGTGTTTATTACCTAAAATATGCCAAAACACTGCAGAGCCATTCACATCCTCAAGCACCAGAAGAGTTGTGTTTGGGACTTCTTTAATATACATTGAATTTCTGCATTGCCTGTCCTTTCAAGATGTTATTGCAACTTTACAGCTTCTCCGAAAAAATATTCTAAATTCATCAAGATGCCAGAAATAAAACAATAGTTTTAAAATAAACTGAGTCAAGCTGATAAAGCAAATTCCACCATCTCGCACTTCAAGGTAGGAGTTCAGTTTTCTGATCATCTGGGAATGAAATAATAGAAATTTTTGGGAAGCCACCAGGGGAAATAACGCATGGGCATGTGACTTTTTTTACCCCAGTTTAAAAATATTTAACAATCACTAAATTTAGTGGCAGTCAGACAAATGCAGCAACACGTGGAATTAATTTAAGGCAAGAAAAATGTCTAATTGCTTCTCAGACTGTAAAAAGCACGCTTATGAAATATGGTTTGTAAGAAATTCAAAGTGTTCACACACAAAAAAAAAAAAAGGAAAGTACAAAAATAGAATAAAAACCGAGGCTTGGTAAGGAAATGGGTGGGATGAACCACCAAACTGTACTTTTAGACATGGAAACAACCAAAAACACACCTTTGGAGGCAAACATGGCATTTGCAGTGTTTCGGTGAAAAAAGCAGCAAACCCTGAAGTTTAATTTTGTTTAATTACTACTATGAAGTAAGAGGCTCAAAAAATAAAACACGATGCTAGAACCAGTATTTGTGTGGTTTCCTCTCAGAAAAGCTGCTCTAAATGCAGCCTTCGGTGCACACTGGAATTCCAGTGCAGGAGGAGCCTCCTCCTCTCTCCAAAGGGAACAACTGGAAATTCCCAAGGTCGGGGACTGCAATTCACCAGGAATTCAGCATTTAACAGAAGGAGTGTCTGAACAGACCAAGGAGAACATCAAGGTCTGAGCTTTTCACTGAGGAGAAGTTTGGTGCAGCAGTTACTGCACAAAGATGATGCATGTCAAGATTTAGTGACTGATTTACCTTTGAAGTACAAAAACTGGGATCACAGAAATATAAAATAGCCTGGCTTGGAAGGAACCTTAAAGTTCATCAAGTTCCACTCCTGCCTGGGACAAAAGGTGTCCCTGCCATGGCTGGAGTGGCACTGGATGAGCTTTAAGGGTCTTTTCAGCTCAAAACATTGGGCAATTCCAGGAATTCCATCCCAGCCCCTTCCAGGGAAGAATTCCTTCCCAATATCCCATCTAAACCTCTCTTCCTTCAGCTTAAAGCCACTCCCCCTTGTCCCGTCCCTCCATCCCTTGTCCCAAGCCTCTCTCCATCTTTCCTGTAGCTCTTTCAGGCACTGCAAGACCACAACGAGGCCACCTCAAAGCTTCCCTTCTCCAGGTGAACAATCCCAGCTCTCCCAACCTTTCCTCCTCCCAGCAGAGCTGCTCCATCCCTGGGATCATCCTGTGCCTGCTCTGGACTCTCTCCAGCAGCTCCACATCCCCCTTTGCACCCCAGAGCTGGATATGCCACTCATCTTTTAGGCCTTGCTAAAATCAGTTTTTATTAACCTGAAAAATTCCCACTGACCAGAGGCTGAGGACACAGAGCAGCAGGGACTAGTGCACACCTGGGATCCAGCTCCATCAAACCCACACACCCAGGGCCAAAACCCATCTTAGTGCAAGAGAAAAAGGAGGATCACACTCTGGCAACCCTCACCTTCTTGGATTTCTTCCGTAGTGTATAACCCCTGTACCAACCTAGGAGAGAAAAAAGGGGACAAGCATTAAAAAGTTCATTTATGGCACCTCCCAGCTGCTCCTCCCCAGCTCAGCAGCACCCCAAGGTGGTTTCTGATCATGCCTCAGCCCTGCACATCCCAACTCAATCTCAATTTTCCATAGGCTTAACAAATATCCTGGATAAAACAAGTCGTCCTGGGAGCTGTAAAATCAGAGTGATAATGGAGAAAAGTACATGACAGAGATGGTGGTTCACATGATGTGTTTAATTGCTGTGCATTTAATTTTAATTACTAATTCACCAACACAAACCCAATTTAAGAGCATTAACTTGACAAAAATTTACTGATAGGCTACTTCCATTTCAAAACCCACTTAAATTCCACAAATCCAAATCTTCAGTTGTTAGCCAGGAAACAGGAATGCTTGGGAATTTAGGGGTCACATATCAAAATACAAAAGCAAGGAGCCCGTTTGGAAAACTGAGCCTGGATGCAACATCCACCCCTCCAGCCTGGCAAAGAAGGGTTTGTACAGCACAGCATCCCTGTCGAGGGGAGGATGGGGAGATCACAAAGCAGATGTGGAATAAAAACTGCAGTCCCAGTCCTGAGAACAGGGATGAACTTCCATGAAACCAACACACGCTGATAAACTCATTATGTACAATGTGGAACCAGAAATCCAAATTAAAGGCTGAAGCACAGGGGGTTTCTCAGTCTGCTCTCCTGCAGCACAAGCCCAAGGGATTCATCACCTCCTCCCCACAGCACTTGGGGCTGAGTTAGTGTCAAAAATCTCGAATTTGTAACCAGCACGCTTCACCTCCCAACAGAGGCTGCCACAGCCTCACATCCCACACTCCACTGCTTCCCAAGGAACACCAAACTGCTGCTGAAATCAGCACTCCCAGCCATGGCCAGGTGCAAAGGAGGCAAAAGTGGGAGTGCTCCCTCCACTGCCTGAAATCCATGCACAGATTCCAATCCTAATAAAAAAATGAATTTCCAGAGTTTTAGATGAATAAAGCAATATTTTGAAGTCCTGGAGTTTAACCTGCTGAACAACTGAACTCTGATCAGATGCACTGCACAAACTGGAGAACAAACAATCATTATTTCTTCTCCTGTGCTGCCTCAGGACATCCCGTGGAATAAAAGCCCTGTGGCAAAGACAGCTCCCCACGGATGAACCTCTGCTTCCTGAAGTTTTGCAGCCAGAGCTGCCAGGATCGTGGAGGAGAGAGCAGCCAAAACCTGCCTTGGAGAACTGGCTGCACTGCTGCTCCTGGCATGGCCAGGCAGGTCCCACCAGGCTCCTCCTGGTGCTGGTGTCCCCCTGGAGCCGGGCAGGGAGGCCAGTGCAGATCCCACTGGGACAGCTGGGGACACTGGGGCTGCCCACGAGTGGGCTCAGATGGAGGCATGGTCACCTAAAGGGTGAAACCATCTCTAAACAACTCCTCCAAAACATGGGAGAGCTGGGGGGGCTCACCTGGAGAGGAGCAGCTCCAGGGAGAGCTCAGAGCCCTGCCAGGGCCTGGAGGGGCTCCAGGAGAGCTGGAGAGGGACTGGGGACAAGGCCTGCAGGGACATGACACAGGGAATGGCTGTAAACTGAAAGTAGGTAGGTTTAGATGGGATATTGGGCAGGAATTCCTCCCTGGGAGGATAGGGAGGGGCTTGGATGGAATTCCCAGAGCAGCTGTGCGGCCCCTGGATCCCTGGCAGTGCCCAAGGCCAGGTTGGAGCAGCGTGGGACAGTGGGAGGTGTTCCTGCCATGGCAGGGGTGGCACTGGGTGGGATTTGAGGTCCTTTCCAGCCCAAACCATTGGGAGATTCCAGGAATTCCTTCCCTAGGAAGGAGGTGATGCTCTGGCACAGGGTGTGGACTCCTCATCCCTGGACCTGTTCAAGACCAGACCTTGCCCGTAAGAAATCTGGGACCAAACAGCTGGAGATGTGCATCCAAGGAAATGCTCAACTAAGACACCAATGAAATATTTGTCAAAGCTGCAAAAGAAACTCAAGAATTTGCTGTGGTTACCCTCAAACAATGCATCCATTTTGACACTTCCACTGCATTCACAAACAAACAAAAAAACTGCAACAAAAACTAATCTTTCCCATAATATCAAGAATAACTCCTGTGAAAATCTCTATTTGGGAAGCCAAACTCCCTTCTCACAGCAGCACTAGAAATTAATTGGTGCTCCAACAGTTAATCCTGGTCTTGAGGTTGATTTTCTGTTACATTTCCCAGCAATTCCCCTTAATCAGCCACATTTATTGATCATATGGTTCCACTTGCCCATTCCATCAAATGATGTCAAGAAACAGAATTAAGACAATAAAGATGTGGAATGTACTAATCCAGAATGTGGCAAACACTTGGGTTTTAGGGTATCTGCTACAAAATTCAACCCTCCTCTCTTGCAGAGCAGGATATTTGGGAATTCCTATGGCTCTCCTGTTTGGCTTTTCCTCTAAGGCTCAATTTAGAAGGGCAGAGAAAGTTTTCTAACTGAAAAATAAATTAAAATATGTCCTAAAAGAAAAAGTAACTTTATTTTCAGTATTGATTAGTCTAGAAAGTAGCTTCATCTTTACTTTGGTTCCTGGAAGAACACAAATTTAGTATTTAATGGTGAAGTGTGTGTATACATTTCCAATCTCCTCACTCCCATAAAAACAAGGGATGTTTTCACCAAGACTGAAACTTCACAGAACTTGACAGGATCCACACACTGAATTATTTCTGCACAATATTTTTGCATTTCAGAGAAAAAAAAGTTTCTACTATTAGAATTCAAAATGCCAAAACTTTATTAATAAACACAAATTCCAAAATAAGTTCTACTCACGGGCAACAAAAGTAGGTATTATTTTAAACACAGGGCAAAAGTTCAACCCAAATTAATTCCAGTACATGGTAGCAACAGATATCCTAATTCTGTCCTAAAAATCAGATCTTGCAGACCATGGATGTGAGAATGAGCCCTTCCAAGTCCTCATCTTTCTTCTGTAGAGACCCCAATAAGCAAGGGTTTCCCATGAGTTTCTTGGCAATGCAGACTCAGAGAATTCTGTCCTAAAAATCAGATCTTGCAGACCATGGATGTGAGAATGAGCCCTTCCAAGTCCTCATCTCCCTTCTGTAGCGACCCCAACTGAGCAAGGGTTTCCCATGAGTTTTTCTTGGCAATGCAGACTCAGAGGGGAGAAAAAACCCCAAAAAACAAACTTTTACCAATTCAAAGCCCACAGACACAGACCAATCTTCAAAACTACTCCCAACTTAGGAATTATTGCAGAAAACTAATTTAAAATAGTATCAAATCATTGACCCATTCCATCAAATAATGTCAAGAAAGAGAATTAAGGCAATAAAGATGTGGAAAGTACTAATCTAGAATGTGGATTCTCTCAATTTAGGAATTACTGCAGAAAATTCATTTAAAATAATATCAGATCTACAGCAGGATGGGAGGAGCAGATGTGGACTCCAGCAGGTACCCATGAAAAAAAGCCAACTGCTTTTCCCCTAGGGAGAAGGGGTAGGAATGGCAAAATCCTCAGCAAAAAGGCTTTACTGACTCTCCCAACAACTTTTCTGCCCCAGGATTATATAATTAGAGGGTTTTTCTTTGGATGGGTCCATTGCCACCTCAGCCTGGCACACACCTGGGAATTTGTAGGGTACAAAACCTCCCAGGGGCACAATCCACACCAATTTTATCCAGAGAAAGCAGGAGATCGAACAACTCAAACAAGCCCCTGATCTTGGCAGCTCTGAACACAAGACAAGAGTCACAGCATCACTCAGATGTCTGTCTTGGGTTTGGTTGTTGTGGTTTGGTGATGGTTTTGTAGGAATAGTGATGCTGAGAGTGCTCTTGTTTTGAGAGGCTCAGAGAGAGGTTTGGTCTCTGTTGTAGTTTAGGAGAGTTTTTTGATATTTAGGTGTCAGAGAATTTAGAGAAATAATAAATTAGAGAAGTGATGTTACAGTTTTTCTTAATAAATTAAAAAGTAAAGTAAGTTCATTGTTTGTAAGTATTAAAACAGGTTTAGATAATTGTGGTCTGTTGTGTTTGATATATTCTGCTGAAGTATTGAATTGAGGATGTTAAGAGCTTTTGTAAAATTGTTACCCTTTGTTTTTGTTTGATTTGTCAAAGTTTTTTTAAGTTTCCCCATCTCAGGTCAGGAATGGGCAATCAGTGCTTGGGAAAACAGGAATTTGGATTTCTTTTACCATGAACTCACTGCATGTGCTCCGAGCCCTGAGAGCGTGAAGGTTTTCCTCTATTTCCAGCCCAGGGGAAAAGTCCATCCCCACTGTCCCATTTACTTGGGAACAGCCAGCATTTATTAGGGTTTCAGCATCTGACAGGATTTCAGCATTTAACAGTTTCACATTCCCTGCTCAGTTTCTCCCACACTCATTAAATAAACCTATTTTTATACAGAAGTACAAAGCTGTGCAATATTTGAATCGCTCCATTTGCATTTAAAATCTTTGCATTACTAGGGGTTTATTAAAGCATGCAACATCAGATAGTGGAAAGACTGCTTTGCTCAGAGTCAAACTTGGCATTGCAGCAGCAAACTGAGCTCCAAGAAAAGGCCAGCCCAGGAATAACGAGAAAATTCAAAAATTCCACTTCAAGTGATGATCAGCTCTTGTTAAAATAGCATTGTTTGTCTCAGTAAACATAATATTTTAAGAAATCCAATTAATCCATTAACTAAAATAAATTTATCATCCAGATCTACCAAAAGATCAATGTCTAGAGAAGCAAATTAAATCAATACATTACAGTAAATCCTGTTTCCACAAGACAAACAATGTTACACTATTTTAAACACACACTTCAGTTCTGTGTTCCCCACGCCTCTGCTAACTGCAGCACACCATAAAATTCCAACTCAAGGATATAATGAAAGTTTTATTTTGCTTGGATTGAGAGCTGAAAACGTTGTGACAATTTCCCCATCGTGTTGATTATCAAACTCAGCACTGAAATTCCCTTGTACAAGGATCAGGGAGGAAAGGTTTTGGTACAGGTGACGCTTGTAGAGTTCCACATCAAAAGAGGCACCTGGAAAAGGCTGAAATCAGTGCACACATCTCAGAAGAGACAAATAATTCAAGACCCAGGTGACTTTCAAATTCAGATTAAACTTCTTGTAGCAGCAGGTTCTTTTGCATCACCCAGGGGTACCCAAAAAGCAACTCTCATTTCTATAACGTGGGGGAGAGGCTACAACTGATGCACACAAACCCATTTCTGGGAAAAGTCTTCTTCCCCAGAAAATCCAGTGCTTTATCAGCTCATCAATCCATTTGCTTCACCTTCCAATTCAAGAGGGTCACAAACAGAAAAGGAATGCAATTCCCCACAAAAAAAAAAAAAAAATCCTATTTTTCAATTGAATTTTTGCCATCTTACCCTCATAAGTTTCCAGGATGTGCACGGTGTCCCCAATCTGTAAGGAGAGTTCATCTGGCCCCCTGGCATCGTAATTGTAGAGAGCTGGACAGAGGGAACACTGCTGTTAGTGCAGGCAAAACAATTCCAGGTGTTTCATCACATCACTTATTATTGCCAGTCCGAACCTTTTTGTAAAAAAAAATAAATTTAAGTCCTATAAAAATTCAGCCAAATTCTTAAATCCATCATTAATTCCTTTTGTAACAAAAAAACCACCCACAAGATGACTTTCTAAAGCTGTCCCTTGCTGTGTTTATAATGCTTTGCTTCTTCATGGCAATACACTCAATTTTTGTTGTATTTGCCAGCCTTCCACAGCACTTTGTGTCAATTTTAGGCAGTTCTACAAAGAACTGCTCTGTCTTCCCTGTCAGCTCAACACAGAAAACTTACAAAGTGTCTTTAGAAAACTCCAATTGCCACGCTAGCATTAAAGGATGATTTCTCAGTCATTTCATTCATTTACTGTATGCATAGGATGTTGAAAAATATGATTTCAGAATTTCTGAGTGGCAGAGGCAACTGCAGCAACCCACTGTACAATAAACTACAACAAATCCAACAGGAATTCAAAGACCACTCTTCCCTGCCACTCCCAAAAGAAAATCTGGGAATGCCCACAAATTCATCTGACAAAAAATGCTACAAACCAGGTTTGGTTGGGAAAAAAAATACTCATGCTCCAAAAAACAAGTGTTACAACTCCAAAAGCCAAATTTTTATAAGTTTTATATGGAGTAAATGCTATGTAGCAGAAAAAAAAATCTTCCAATACCAAGGAGGGTCCTCCTTGAAGGCAGAGACTGAAATATTTCCTAAGATGGAAATTAAAGAACTTTAGTCAAGGTGGACCCACAGAAATATCTTCATCTTACAACTGCAGCTATGCCCACCAACAAGGATCAATAACACTCGAAAATCAGAATTTCTCACTATTTGTTGTAATTGTTCAGGAAACAGAAGCATTTTTGGAGCATAATAATTACTTCTGAAGTTCTCACCACCCCTGAGATTATCACTGCTTTTCTTTCTGCCTCAGTTTCCAGGGCAGGGCTCAGGGATGTTTTACTGGAACAGAACGAGCTGGGTAAGAGACTCATGGCCATCAGAGGAAATTGATTTCGGACCAAGAGCTCACAGAGCATCCACACCACGTTCCACACTCATTACAGGTAACACAGCACTCCCAAAAACCCCTCCAATTCCAAACCTGCGGCAGAGCCCTAAACAAAACCATGAGAGGAGGGATCCAGGCAACACCTGCCTTCCCTGGCAGCTCCTCCCACCCAGCACTACCCAGGAGATAACCCCACAAACCACACCTGCAGGAACCAGGAGTGACAAAAACACTGCTGGGAGCCCAGATCTGGTCACGGTCACACACCAGGAACATCCCAGTGGGCACCAGGGGGGCTCTGATCCCAGCACGAGGATGGGGCACTGCCTCCCCCAGTTCCAGCCTCCAGGAACTCCTGTTTGTTCTGCCCAGAACTCCTGGAATTCCAGCTCTCAACCAGATCACCAATAAATAATGCAATGGCTCACCAATAAGTCAATAAATAATCAATTGGATCACCCATAAACCAATCCCTAACCCACTGAATCACCCATAAATCAATCCATAAGCCATTGGCTCACTAAGAAATGAATCCATAAGCCATTGGCCCACCAATAAATAATCAACTGGATCACCCATAAATCAATCCATAAGCCATTGGCTCACTAAGAAATGAATCCATAAGCCATTGGCCCACCAATAAATAATCAACTGGATCACCCATAAATCCATAATCCATTGGCTCACCAATAAATAAATCCATAAACCACTGGATCACACAAATCAATCCACTGGATCACCAATAGATAATCCATAATCCATTGGCTCACCAGTAAACCAATCCATAACCCACTGGATCACCCATAAATCAATCTATAATCCACTGGCTCATCAATAAATAATCCATAACCCACTGGCTCACCCATAAATCAATCCATTGGATCACCAATCAATCAATCAATCCATAACCCATTGGATCACCAACCAATCAATCCATAACATACTGGTTCACCAATATATCAATCCATAAACCATTGGATCACCAACAAATCAATCCATAACCTATTGGATCACCCACAAATCAATCCACCCAGGCTGGCTGGGTCCTTTTCTCTGCAGAACTCCTCTGGCTTGACAGACTTTAGAGTGAAGAGGTAAATAAATAAATCTGAGTGCACAAATGGAAAAAAAGACATGGGAAAGCAGTTAGGAAAAAACACTGTATAAGTTGGAAGATTATTAATGGAATTAAAACAACACCACAGGGTAAAAAGAATAAAGGTCAGGTGCACTGCAGAGACCAATATCACCAGGATTTAAATGAAGCTTTTAGAAAGGCAAAGTTTTTACTGACATCAAAACAAGCCAAGCTATTTGTGTTTTAATATCTTCCTTAATTTTGGCATTATTACAGACAGATAAACTCTCCCTCCCAGGTATCTGGGACAGGATTTCTGAGAGCCATAAATTCTACCCCTGCAGGAGAAGGGGGTTCTGAGAAAAGCCTTAACAAAAATGAGCATTTTAAACTGCTCCCAGTGGTGAACACAGAGCACATGGGACCGTCTGCTTGGAAACACCCCCCTGAAATAGTCACATTTCAGCTTTTGTGCATAGCAGGAAAAACAAAGTTACACAGCCCTAACTCCTCCAAACTTGCCTGCCTGGAGTGCAACATAAAAAGAAAGCCAATCCTTAGGGTGTTTACTGAGATCCCTTCAATGCTCACAGCTCAGTCAAGGGGCCCCTGGGATGTTCACGCATCCAGAAATGAATCCAAGGACAGTCTCCCACCTCCACGACCCTGACAAACAACTTCACTGACTCACAGCAGACATCCCAGCCAGGAAAAATCTGCATCAGAACAGATTAAAAACCAGTCCTGTACTCAATTCACACTTCAGCTGAGCATTTCTCCAGCATTTAACTGGAATAACGCTCAGGATCAAAGGCAGCTATGAATAAAAGGCACTAAAATTTATGCCCTAGAGTGCTCAAACTGGTGTCTGTCACAACAAGGAAGGTCAGGCAGCAGGAGCTGCAGTGGAATGACCAATTCTTCTGACAGAAGATGACAAACAGCCATCAAATGGTAATTACTGCCCACGGCAGCTCCCACTGACCTCAACTGACTGAGGAGCCGGGGGGAGTGTGATTTATCTTCAAAAATATATATATGTGTGAAAAATATGTCTGCAAGAGAAAATAAATCACATTTCTGGCTCCCAACAGCACTGACAGATCGTGAAGCAAACAACCCAAATAACTATAAAGTGCATTCCACCCCTGTGATTACAAAGCAAGGCTTGAACTTCACCACAAACTCCCCTGCAGGGGAGCAGGTAACTCCTCCTCACAGGAAGTTTTTTTATGTACAGTGCCATCAAAAGATGCTGTGATAGAAACCGTTTGATTGGAGCAAACAACAAGGCTTTAATTAAAGGAAAAGACAAAGTTTGGAGGAGTAAAGCATGAAACTGGTATGTTTGCATTTTGTCTCATCAACTGCATCCTGAGCTATCATTTAAAATATTTAAAAACCTGAGGTATAGCTTTCTATTTTTTAAAGTTTTTTTTCTTTTTGAACTGAAGTATGTTTTGCTTAATTTAAAAAATCCAACATCCACCCAAGGGTCACCAAAAGCAGAGGATTAAGTGTGAGCGAAGAAAGAGGCATTTTTTCAGCTCTAAGAGTTGATAAAAAAGGAACAATGAACAGGGCATTACAGTAATTGCACCAAACCCCCATTTACCATTCAAGAACACAAACACCTCTGTGAGCTGCACTCAGTCTGCACACATCAGAAAAATGAGGGGGCCAACACTAGAAGAATTAGTGGTGGAAACAAAGGGAAAAGCAAACAAAGGTAACATCAATTTATACTGAAAAAGCTTTTTTCTAACTGCACAAAAGGTGAGATAGCTTAAGACAGCATAAAGATGTTACAGAGTAATATCCCCTGGTATTACTTTGCTTTAAAGGCTGTATTAATCATTCTGAACTCCTGAATGAACCCAAACTACATTTAACACACTACCAGCTTTATTTTACACTGGCTTAAAAAAAAAAAAAATCCCTAAATCCTAACTGTGCCTTTTCAATAAAAGCAGATAAATTGCAGAGGTGAAAGCAAAGTCTTTTGTAAATTCTCTGGTATTAAAAGACATCTGAAGGTTTTCCTATTTTTCCTAAAATGAAAGTGGATCATTTGAATGTTCAGGCAGATTCCTTAGTCCTCTGCTACTCACCCAAAGGAGCTTCTAATTTCTACACCTGAGGCTAACGGAGAAGCAAAAAGAAAAAAGCAGTGTTTGAGTCAAGAGTTGCACCTGAGAACTGTTAAAGACAATTATTTCATGTGTGCATTAACCAAGGGTAGATCCTCTCCCCCTCACCTTGGGTTTTGTCATTCCTGGTCTTACCAAGTTGGATTCAGAGCTCTTTCTCAGTATTTTAATTATTGTGTTATCCAGACACTCCCAAAAAAATTATTTCCTGAAGAGAGAAGAATCCTGGAGAAATTCTCAGATCTGAGCTGTTACCATTAAGCTAAAGGAGAAAATCAGGCTCGAGGTTCCTCCTGGCCAGTGATGCTCTAATCTTATTGATTAAATCCACAAATGTGACTTTTATCACAGGATTAGCCCAAATCCCACAAGTTCAAGAAGATAGAAAGGATTTATCACCACTCTCCCTTACAAAGGTGAGACACCTCCTTTCACTCCTCCTCTCTGTGAGCAGCAAATTCCTGAAACACACAATGGTTTACCTCCAAACTCCTCCGTCACTACACAGGGCATGTGTTGAGGGTGAGAGAACCCTAAAGCAGCCTCTGAAGCCCTCAGGCTGAAATCCCTGCAATGCCAGCCTGCCAAAATCAGGACACAAAGAGTGAAGGGCCACCAAGCCTTTCTAAGCACCAGCAAGCACCCCAGGTTTCACACCAGACAGCAAAGGCAGCAATGTGTCCTGCATCACATTTGA